ATAAAAAGGGAACTTTTTCTATTAGCAATGCTACAGGGCATGTTGTTGTTGTTGTTGTTTTAAAGATAAAAACAAATTATTTTATTTTTTAAATCTAGAAAACAAGTTGTGACTACCAGAACATCAAAGGATCTTTATTACTTGCAATATCTAGGGATATATTTGTCACACTTAAAACCAGTTATCAGTTTTAAATTCAGTTTCTAAGCCTTTGGCTAAAGACAGGACATTGATCCAGAACTCTGGATCAGATGCCTGGATTTTGAGTCCTAGTTTTGTTACTAATTTGTAATAGTGACTTTCCCATATGTTAACCTTCATTTTCTCAACTGTACAATTATAAACTCAGGCTCTTTTCAACATTGAAATTTTATAATTTACATATAAATTCATATTTGAGACACTGAATAGACTAGCAATTGGGTGCTCCTTTTTATAATAATTGTAGAGGTTAAAGGAATATATAGAATGAACATAGATATAGAAATAAGATTAAATGGATATGCAGTGGAATCAGTCTTGAGTTTCAATTTTGCCCCTGCTCCATGATACAGTGGGCCTCAGTTCCTGAAACACTCTCCTTTCCAGTTTCCTAAGATGGGAATCATAATAATTAGTACCTACCTTGACTGGGGATGATTCAATGAGAGAACAGTGTTATTGTAGTTGTTGCAAATTGGTCACCAAACTTTTCTATTGGGACAAACACTAAAACATTCTCAAAACAGCTAATGGCAGTCATCTTCCAAAAAATGACACAATCACAATATGCCAATCTTTCTCTGAAGAAGCAATTAACTAGGTAGATATTTCTGGTCTAAATGATGTCAAGTTCTTTCATAACTATGCATTTAAAGTGACTTGGAAATAGTCCTGTCTCAAGACAGGACATCAACAAGATGATGATTCATAAATTGCTTCCAACTCTTAGATTCCCTTTCTTAGACATTGTTGGATGGGCTCCAATTGTTTACCTAGAATAAACTTGAAATAAGAATATTGGGAATACTCTTAATTTTTAATTTTCTTCTGTTGTACTTTTGCCATTAGTTTATACAGAAAGTACAAAAGCAGAACCAGATGACAGCAGGGGAAGAGGAATAGTTATTCCAAATTTGAATTTGCAAATCTCAAAGACAGGCTGTGTGCCATGGAAGAGGAATCTTGGACTGTCTCCTGTCTTGCCTGGTTACACAAGGCACAGCTAACGTGGCTGGACCTCTAGTTCTGTTGTCACAATACATTTCTGGTGTATCCCAGGGGCCTGGTGAATGATATGTGTCTGCTGCTTATCAGCAAAAGATAGCAGAGGCCCTGCTCCTACTACCAGTGCTCCTAGAGATGTTTATCACGCAGACCCTGAGGACAGGAGTTGACCCATACCAAACACTTCAAAAATAATGTCAACACACCCAAGACTACAGCCTGCAAGGAATTTTCTGAGATAAGATTACAACTTTGTCCTTAAATGGTTGCCAAACAAGTCAGAAGATCCCCAAATGTTCCCTGAGCAGAGCAACCCTGTAGGTTATCCTTCATACCAGGGAATTTTAGGAGCTCAGTTTTTGTGCTGCTAAATGCAAATGCCCAGCTATTATTTTCCAAAGTATGCACAAAGCTCTAGTAAGACCTAAGAAAGTTCCAGCAGAGTGGAGGACCGGAAGCCTGAACTTGGAGACGATAATGTCAACTCATGGAATAAGCTGGAGACTGATCTCCATTGACAAAAGCATTTGTTCATCTTATGTCAGGATTTCATTTCTTCTCTTTTGGCTTTGTCTAAGCCAGAGGGCCTTCAAGGCCAGATTAGAGCTCTAGTGTGGGGCTAGGGCAAAGTCATTATAGGAAAAGATGACTCAATCTTAGAGTAGGTTTGAAAGGCCACTGTAATCATTTGTTTGAACATTTAGTCATGTGTTCAGTTTAAACACCAGTATGCAAACTGGCACTGTCAAGCACCCATGGGGTGAGGTAGAGCTTGTCAGGCATTGTCCTGAGACCAGGCTCTGGACAGGCATTCTCTAGAGACTACATTGGTGAAGCCCACATGGAGACAACACACCTTTAATTTGTCATCCTAACATTAATGAAATCATTTGCTTTGGCATGTCCCACATTCCTTCCTTTGTATTCCATGTGCTCAGTCCTCATGTGAACTTCTGGATTCTAAATCCTTCTTTCTTGGGCCATGTTTTATATATATATATATTTTTATATGGTGTCCAGATTCATTTTAAAAATGAAAAAACACCTTTTTATCATGTTGTCTCACAGTAGAGTCTCACAATAGGGTTCAGACTCCTCCATTTTTTAATTGAATCCTCACAAGTCTTTCCATCCAGATTCTTCTTCTTCATTCATTTTTTTTTCATGTAATTGCATCCATTACATCTTATTTTATCTACCATAGGCTGGATGACTTGCTTTTCAGTTTTCCTAGCTCTGTGCTTTTGTTTTGGCTATCCTATTCCCTTTGGGAATACGCCCAACCCCTGCCACCCACCTTCTGTATTGCTGCATCTCTTCCAGGAAACCTTTTCAGACTAATCCCACCCTTACTGATCTGACCTGCCTCTGAACTCTGTCCAGGCAGACCCTCGCGATTAATCACATACTGCTCACATACTGCCGAGTGAATTTATCTTTATTTTGCCTTCTTTGTCTTGCTTTTTCATTCTCCGCCCTCCCCGTCACTTTGCTTTTCTGTATTATCATGTGTGGACGAATGTGTGAAGCAGACAGGACATCTCTGAAAATAAAATCTATGTCATATATTTTTAGAACACACAATCTGATCCGTGCTCCCTAACATTGTTATTGGTTAGTAATTCTTGCTTTGCATCTGGATTTGCAAATAGATATTCTCATGATGCTGTGCAGCTTCTGGAAGCCTTGGGAACCCAGCTTTCTCACACTAATAGAACCAAGAACAGCATCCCTAAACAATAGGAAGACATTGGAAGTGGGCTTAAAGAGCTTCCTTTGGAATAAAACTTAAAGCTATTCTATAAGCCAAAATAGGTGGAATCTAATGCTAATCGCCTCAGAGTTTAAGGGGTTTTTTAGATGTCAAGAACTGGGGGGAAATTAAATGAGGTTTAATTTAAACCTTCCTGTATGCTCACATCTGCCCAGTACCTTTCCTAGCCCCTCTGTCCCACCACAACAGTGTGGCTTTTTCTGGACTTGTTCTACCTCCACCCTCAACCTGCCCCCACAACAGGGAGGTTGGAGAACTGGGTGAGGCACCGGCTTTAAGGGCCCAGGAAACACTAACAGGCATTCACAGCTCTCCCTGTTCCTATAAGCTGATGTTCCTAGGCAAATTAACTGGTTTCTCCAAGTCTGAAGTTTCCTCTTCTGTAAAATGAGGATAATAGAACTTCCTCATAGAGTTGTCCTGAGAGGGAAATCAGATAGCCCATGTAAAAGGCTTAAACCATTGCAAGTACATTATCACTCTGAAAATAGTCAGCCCATGGCATAACAGCTTATAAACAATATGCTGATTTTTCCCATTTAAAAAAGACAAAACAAAACAAAGTCTCTTCATCTCCAATCACTATCCCTTTAAAACAAAACAACTCCCCACTCTGATTCCTTCCTTTCCCATTCTCTGGCACTCTCTCTAATCAGGCTTGGGCCCCTCCACTCCATTACAGCTGGGGTTTTTGCAGACTCACCAATGACTTCTGTGTTGTTAAGTTGAAGACGTAATGCTCAGGTCAGTGCTCTTGACCTGGCAAGTAGCATTTGACACAGCAGATTTCTCCCTCCTCCACAAAACACTCATTGGGTCCAGTCTCCAGGAACACCCACTCCTCTGCCATGACTGCCTCCTTGTCCTTCCATCTCCCTACTTCTGGCCTGGCCCTCCAGCTTCTTTTTTATCCCTATGGATGACCCTTGATGACGTCACCCAGCCTCATGGCTTCTAACGCCATTTCTACACCAGCATCCAGCTTGCCAGCACTTTCTCCCCAAATCTCCAGACTTGTATCAAGCTGCTGCTCAGCTTCTCCACTCACATCTGGTACGGGCTTTCAGAGATGTCTGAAACTGATCTCCTGTCTATCTACCCTCTCCAAAACCTGTTCCTTCCATAGTCTTCCCCATTTTAGGAACCTATCCTAATAGTTGTTCAGAGTAAAACCCAAAGTTAACCTGACTCCTCTTTTTTCATTTATCATGCAGTTTGTCAGAAAACTCTCACTTGTCAAAATATATCCAGAATCTAATCCCTTCTAAGAAGCACTTGTTCAGCCCTCCTAGCAGCCACCAATGTCCTCCAGCTGGAATAGTATGGCAGCCTCAGCCCCCCTCCCTGTTTCCACTGCCCTCAACCTATAGACACTAGACTGATCTTTTAAAATGTAAGGCAGACCACATCACTCTGGCTAGTATTCTGATGGTTTTCTCTCCAGGTAAAAGCCAAATGCATAATGCTGACCACCCAGCCCCTTTGGCTCAGTACCTGCTGCTTCTCTTAAGTCCTTCTTATGCTGTCCCCCTCGTTCACTCTGCTGAAGCCACCGCCAGCACACCCTAGGTCCTGCCTCGGGACCTCTGTACTGGCTCTTCTGTCTGCCTGCCTGGAAAGCCCTCTGCCAGATGGCCACATGTTCACCTTCACTACCCTTAGGTCTGCACTCTACAGTCAAGTCCCAAGACTTTCCCTGACCAACTGTTTTATTTTTCAACATAGCTCTTCTCATGCTTTACATTTTACTTATTTTATTGTTGTCTTGGTCCATTGTTCTAACCAGAATGTAAGCTCCATGGAGGCAGGAGTTTTTAATCTGCACAACACCTGGGTGGTGCTTCACATGTTAAAAATCAAATGTCAACCATTATTGCTGGTCCTCGCCTGGAGTCCATGGCTGGCCTTGACCTTCTGTCTTGTGCCCTAGCTTCCTGAGGATGGAGCTGTCTTACTCCCAGATCAGCATCCTCCTTAACTGCCTCTGATGTGGCTCTGTCTGTCTGTTCTTCCTCCTCAGATGCATACTCTCATTCCTCCAGCGAAAATGGAGGCAAATCTGAATCTGTGGCCAACTTGCAGGCTCAGCCTTCCCTGAACTCCATCCACAGTTCCCCTGGTCCCAAGCGCTCCACCAACACCCTGAAGAAGTGGCTCACCAGTCCTGTGCGTCGACTCAACAGCGGGAAAGCAGATGGAAACATTAAAAAACAGAAGAAAGTACGCGATGGTCGGAAAAGCTTCGACCTGGGCTCTCCCAAGCCTGGGGATGAGACCACCCCTCAGGGAGACAGCGCTGATGAGGTACTTAGGGGTCCCCAGAGCCCTCCATCTGGAAGGCACCACTGACATGCCTCCTGCACCGTTCTGTAATCTAGCCAGTCTCCAAGAGCTTGTCATCGTGAGCCTCAGTGATGAGTTCGATCTGTGACCATTCATCAGAGAATAACCAATACCGGGCATATCCAGCAGCCAGAAACCACTTTGCCATATTTAGAGTTAGGGGCCTGGCCTGAGGGTGGCAGTTGGTCACTTGCCTCTATTGAGGACTACACCAAAACTATCCAGACCTATTCAGACTAACAGTGAAAGAATGGAGACCATTTCATTATGAAAATAGAAGACTGAGCTGTGCCCAGGTGTCTGGAGCAGTGCCATGTGTAAAGGGAGTAAACAATTCCAGGTTGCTGCAGAGGGGAGAGCTATGATGGAGGTGTGGCCAGCCTGGTCACCACTCAGCCAGGAGCTTTGATGGGGCAGCCAGTGAGGGAGGATAAGTACCAGCTCTCATCACTGCCGAGGTTGAGAAGATCTTTCCGATGTGTAGCCATACTTCTTGTTGTAATTTTATGCCCTCTGCCATGTCTTCCTCTGGAAGTGGCATAGGGCCTGGTGACATTTCAATTCAGCTCTACTAGCCCTTCATAAATTTTTAAAAAGTTGAGCTCTCTTGGCTTTTCTTTCAGCATTCCCTTTTTCTGACTAATCAGTGAGATAGATTGTGAAGCGTTCTGAGGGTTTTTTTTGGGGGGGTTGTATTTACCCCTATTTGGTTCTCACTGTCCTTTGAGATAAGCAGGGGTATCTACGTTACAGAGAAAGAAACTGCAGCTGCAAAGAAAGGCCTGTGTGTCCAGAGGAACCCTCCTGGTGTCTTATGTTTTTGTATGTCAATTCTGAACCCTTGGTATCTTAGCTAACGCTGCTCTTTTGTTCTAGAAGAGCAAGAAAGGTTGGGGTGAAGATGAGCCAGACGAAGAGTCACACACACCCCTCCCTCCGCCCATGAAGATCTTTGACAACGACCCCACACAGGACGAGATGGTAGGACCTCTGGCTTCTCGGTGGAAAAAGTAATGCTTTATGCCCTGGACTTCATTCCGTGTGTGTGTGTGTGTGTGTGTGTGTGTGTGTGTGTGTGTGATGAGAGAATGATGTTCTCTCTCTCTCGTTATCTCTTCCTCCACGTGAATCCACAATGATAGTGATTCTAGGTGTCCTCTGCCCCAATCCTGGAGGTCTGGCTTCATTCTGGACAATGTAGGGGTGTATGTAGAGTTCTTAAAATGGATATCTGCCTGGAATCTCATTCTGTTGGTATAAGTTAATGGCTCTGTCTTTGGAAACAGCAGCTCTTAAAAGGAACTGTTTGTCCCCAGAAGGAATCTGTGGTGGTTCTAGGTGGCAACCATGTTATTATGCTTGACCATATGATCTGTTTTAGTTGTCTTTTCTATACCCAACTCTAAAATAGAATCATGGTGACTTCCAGTCAAGTCTTGTGCTATTAACATTCTGCAGTCTCAGCAGATGGGTAGAAATACTGCTAAGGGAGGAGGTGGGTGTCAAAGGTAGGCAGGCCTAATGTGCTCGGTTGCCCAAGTTTTTTGTTTTGCAAAATTCCACAGCCTGTCCCCTGTGCCTCTGACCCCCTAGGGGTCACCTCAGTCATTCTGGAGCAGAGGCTCAGACTGGATGGCTGGAATTGACCCCATGGTACTAATCTGGGGCATTGGGCCACTTTCATTGTGCTATCTGTCCCTCTCTCTTTTATAGCCATGCCACTTATCAGTGGGGTTTTCCTTGCCTTCTCTTGGTATGACTGGTACCTTGGACTCTGGAAGTGGTTTTGTGTTTGGTTGTCCTTTCCATTTGCTTTAGGAGCATCATTTGGTGGTGGTGGTGGTTGTGGTTACTTGCCTCGCTGTACCTCAGGCTTCCCCTGTGCCTTCTAGTTTCTCTGTGGGGCAGCCTCCTCCAAGGCGGTGAGCCCACCATGTGTATGCAGGAAACAAGCCTTCATGATCCCACCTAGGATGAGATTCAAAGGAGGTCTGCAGAGGCTTCTGTGTTTCTAACATCCCAGCTCTTATATTAATTCTGACTGCCTTGCATTTAATTATTAATACGCAACCATTATTTGAGGTCTTCCTCTGTGCTATGCTAAAAGGACAGTCTAGAAATAGGACAAAGACTAAGAGGTGGTGACTGCCCTGGGGCTTGCACATGAGAAGCACACACAGTTATGGCCCCTCCTGAGGTGATGTTGGTGGCTCTGCTCTCTGACTCTGGACTGTTGGGAAGAAAAGTAGTAGGAAGCATGGCATTCTGCCCATCCTGGATCCCCAGAGGCAGAGAGGCCTGCACTTCACCTTGAGATGGGAATGAGGACAAGCTTGCTGGTGTTCTCAGAGTTCTGCCCTTGTAAAATGTTCTGTAAACAGTGACATATCTATGGGGGTGGGGTTCTCATGTCCCAGTATCTGTCATCCCACACAGCCCTCCACTCAGAGGAGCCAGCTTGCATAAGATAAGAGGTCACGCACCCTCGCCCTTGGATTCCCTCAAATGTAGCTTGTTTGGGAGAAGTGGATATTGTGTTGTTTCTGGGTAATTTTTAACCAAAAGTGCGATGTACCCCAGATATTTGGGTGTCCCTTTTCTTAGCCAGAAATAGGACCAATGGCAACAGTCCCTTTTATTACATTAACTCTCCTCAGTCCTGCTTGTTTGACTTCTGTACACAATATTTGGAATTGAGATGAGCATCAGAACTTCTAGCAAATAGAGTCAGACTTATTAAAAACAATTTTTTTCAGCAGTATAAAAGAAACTTTTAAAAGTTCAACCATTGCACTATTGTGCAATCATCCTCCCTGTTTAACCATTGTTCACATGCATGCGTGTTTTACAATTACTATGGGCGTATGACGTGCTCCATGCTTTATCTGCTGCCATTTCCTAGAATCTTATTAATTTTACCTTCATGACTTTAACTTTAATACCTGGAGAATGTTTTACTTTTTTGATGTTCCATAATTTGCTTGACCAGTCCCTTCATGGGACATCCGAACAGGGTGTTTCCAATCCACTACTTGAAATAATACCTCTGCAGATCACCATGTGTATATAGTATTTGTTCTTTTAATGTCAGTCCTTGGACTAAATTCCCAGGAGTAACATTAATAGGTCAAAAATGATATCTTTGTTTTCCAAACCATGAGCATTTTCCTGCATCCCCAAGAGAGGAAAAAGAGATTGTTATAATTGTTCTTAATTGTACTTATTTGATTCTTCCACATTTCAGAAGCAAAGACTGAAAAGGAACTCTTACATTAGAAAGGGAGTTTTCTGGTTTGAAATTCTTCCCCTAACTTAAGGGAGAAACTTGAAGTCAGGACAAGGCCAGGACAGTCAACTTTCTGTATCCACAGTGGTTATTCCCGTGCGTTGGCCTGGGTACCACTGCCCTCCACTCTGACATACATGCAGGCTTGGCCATCTCTCCCCAGCTCCTCCTCAGGTAGAGGAGAAAGGGAAAACCAAGAACAAACAAAAGCCATCATCCAGGGAGAGGTTATCCCCAGCCCACTGAGCAAATAGCCATACCAACAAGTCCTTATCCCTAGTGCAGGTGGAAGAGGGCCCCAGAGGGGCCCTTCAGTTGAGCCCCTCTTGGCTATAGCAGATATCCCCACCTGCCCAGCATGTAACACATAGCTCCTGCGAAAGCCTCTGTTGCTTCTTGGTGTTCTAAGGAAGAGGCAGAGAAAGAGAGGGAGAAAATGTGGAAGGGGGTGTCTAGCTTCCAGGTCTCTAAAGTGCCCTGCCCCTAGCATTTTTCTAGGCACAGTAAAGATCCATACCTAAGGCAGTAACACATTTGAGACTGGGTTGATTGCAGACCCTGGAAAGCAATGGGCAGCCATATAGTGGCTTAAGTCCTATTTGCCCTTGGAGCATTTGTCCCTGCCTCCTGCCATTAGTAGGTGTTGCCCTTGCCTATTGGCCCCCCCTAGGAACTCAGTGACCCTTCCTCTCAACTCCTTTGGAGGCCTGCCTAAGGAGAGGCAGTCCCATCTATGCTTTGCTGCTGCCAAGACTTCCTGACTAGGGCTTGGGCAGGCCTGCTCCACCCCACTACTCTTAACCCCATTTCCCTCTGTCGCCTCTTCCCTCTAAATACAGAGCTTTCCTTTCCTTGCCTGCCTTGAGCTTTGGACTTTCTGTTTGGCTTTCTAATTGCTGTTCCTCATTCCTTGCTAATCTGCTTTTCCTTTGCTGCCCAATGTCTTGCAGTCCTCCTCTTTGCTAGCAGCCCGGCAGGCTTCCTCAGAAGTACCTACTGCTGCAGACCTTGTCAGTGCAATAGAAAAGTTGGTCAAAAGCAAGCTGGTAAGTGGGGGTCCTGGAGGCAGTTCTGTGTGCGTGTCACCTCCATGCGGCTCCCAGGGCCTTGAATCTACTCCAGGTTCTCATTTTCACTTATCCTCATCCCTCCTGTAGAATTATTTCCAACGATGATGGTTTTTGAAAACCTGTGCTCCAAAATTGGCTTTATTTTGGAATGGGCATGGGAAATTAATAGGCCTTTATGGGGTTGTGATGTTAGCAAAAGGCATAAAGTATCCCATACAAATTAGCCTCACGGTAAGCCTGACCCGCTGGCCCTTAGGCAAGTGGCCTTTAGTCAGTGACTGAGGTGTCTGGATGCTCTGAAGCTCATGCACTGGACTGATGAAACAGGTGGGTCTTTGAAAATACCAAATAATTTTATTTAGGGAGCTTCTAGCTTGCAAAGTCTTGCAAAATTAAGACTGCTGGTTCTAAAGGGGAATGGGAAAAAGTGTATAGATATCTTGCCACAAAAAATCAAGGGAACAGGATGCGGTGGCACATGCCTATAATCCCAGCAGCTCGCGAGGCTGAGGCAGGAGGATCATGAATTCAAAGCCAATCTCAGAAAAAGCAAGATGCCAAGCAACTCAATGAGACCCTGTCTCTAAATAAAATACAAAATAGGGCTGAGGATGTGGCTCAGTGGCCGAATGCCCCTAAGTTCAATCCACAGTATCCCTCCCCACCCCAGAAAAAAATCAAAGGACCTGGTGCCTCTCTCCATCATGGAAGGAAAAACTGAACATACGCACTGGCAGCTGGTCTAGCCTGTGACTATCCAGTGGACCCATCACTCCACCTGAAGGCAGGGTGGTCAGTCTGAGCTGGCTCGGGACTTTGGCAAAGTGCCGGTGAAAATTCATTTCTGGATGGTTCGTTAGGACAGAGTTGCCCTCCACTCCCAGGCTTTGACGTCTAAGTATCACTGTAAAATGATAATTTGAAGCATTTTCCTTTCTTTCTCATCTGTGTCACCCATTTGGCTTTTCCTGCAATCTCATTAAGATAAATGCCTGTGCTCCTACCAGGCTTCTGCTGGGAAGTCTTGTTAATCACCACTGTTTAGACCTTTCTCCACCAGGCCCAAGAATTAGGGGGAGACAGAGCGTCCTCTCTAGAGCAAGCTGCCAATAATTTTGATTCCAATGACTTCCTTTTTCAGATATGCCAGCTTTACAGTGTATAAATGAGGTTTAACACATATGATATTATTCTTTTCCTACCAAATTTTCCTTTCAAATTAGAAAAAAAAATGGCTGGTGGTTTGAGTTACCAGTGTCAGACTCTGCGCCTGCCCATTTTTCTGCTGTCTCTCCTTGTCCTCCCAGCGGGAGTCAAGGGCTTTCATGGTCACCACTGACTTTTCAAAGTCACACGTTTGGCTTTGCTCCCTTTGCATTTTTGTTCCTACCACTTCACTTCTCCAGAGTGTTCTGCCTCTTGTGTTTGCTTATCTAGTGCATAATGGACCTTCAAGGTCCCACTCAAACTCATCTCTCCACAAGGACTTCCCTGACCACTCCAGGCCAAACGTCCTCTCAAATCCAACTGCAGTTTCAAATGCCAGATGCTACTTGGGGCACCTCTTAGACGGCTCTGTTGTGCCATTTGTTAAAATACCATGATGTTTTCACTTGCAGTTTACCTCCCCAGCTAGATGATAAGTCGTTTAGGACATATTTTTTCCTCCAGTTGTATACAGGAGTCTTTTATACTTAATAGGTTCTTCATGAATACTTGTTTCAAAAAAATCCAGGGGCTGGGGCTATAGCTCAGTGGCAGAATGCTTTCCATGAGACACTGGGTTCAATCCTTAGCACTGCATAAAAAATAAAATAAATTCAATAAAGGCATCTACAATTACAAAGAAAATGTTTTTAAATCCAGATTTTTTTATATTTTAGATTACCTTTCCCCTGCTATTGCTGACTTGTGCTATTGAGAGTCTCCTCAGTCCTCTAGTTTGTGTGATCAGTGAATCTGTTATGCCTCTGAGCAGAGTTGTTGATAAGTCCCATAAGAACAGATTTCCCAAAGAAGGGGAAGAGTGGGATGGCATTGGAGTTGATCAACCCTGTAACCAGCTGTCAATCAATGTCTATTGAATGAATATTGTTACTGCAGTGAGTTTACCATAACAAGGGCTTTAACTTCCACCAATAACTGCTCCTTAAGGACCTCCAGTGAGCCCAGAATTACAGAGATTTCTTTGGCTTAACATATGAAACCAAGTGCATTTTAAGAAAGGAGTAAGAAAGTAGTGGCTTTGTTTCTTAGAATCATGTCACCAAAATTTGATTCTTTTACCTACCCTCTACTTTCTCTTTCTTCCCATCCCACTGTGGGACAGCAGTGGAGCAACAGAAAATTGAGACTATTCCAGCCATGTGTGAGAACACTAAGTTGCCTCTTCACCTCTAAGATTTCTGTTCCTATTCCTCATCAGTTCCTTGGCTTGGAAGGAAAAAAAAAAAGTAGAGCTCATAAAAGTTTTGGAATATTTATTTGATCAAATAAAACAGTGTGAAAGCTGCCAAAATATCCAATGTTATCATAGACTTGGTTAATGAAAGTACAATGTATAGGTCAAGAGAAGTAATAGTTCCATTGTGCTATTCAGACCACACCTGTCCTGAGTGGTGTGTAATACATTGTATTCTAAATGCAGCATTCTAGAATGATCTTGAATAAACTGGAAGAGCCCAAGAGGAGGTAAACAGTACCATGTTGTCCATGTCAGGTTAAAGAGACAGAGACTCTGTTTGGGGAGAAGTTAGAAGCATGGCAGAGCCATCTTCCAATTACTGAAGCACTGCAGTGGGACTGAAGGGTTGGTCTGCCTGGGCTGCTCCAGAGGGTAGGACCTAGGTGCGCAGGTGGGAGTTTTCGTAGGGTAGTGTAAAGAAGAACTATCAAAGTCCTTCTCAATGTGCAGAGTCCATTTTACAGAAGCATCAGTTAGCTTAAATCTTTATCCATAGTTGTTGTTGTTGTTGTTGTTTTAATTTCCTTATTGGTTGCTCAAGCAGTGGCCCCAAATTCTGCACTTAGAATTCAGTTGCCCTATAGCTGTACCTGAGGGCCAGGAGGTACCTCGTGTCCCCATGCACCAAAGCTGCTCCTGTTGCTTTATGGCCATGTAGTCATTGTTGCATCAAAGCTTCTGCCTAAGTGTGAGCGCTGATCTTCATTGCCCAGGAATCACCAACAGAGCTAGCATACTAACATACTTTCTGTTTTATGTGTTAAGGTATTGTCCTTAACTTTGAGCCAGGAGTAAGCTCTCCCTCTGCTATCCACGTATGATTTTTTTTTTTTTTTGGAGAGGGTACTGGGATTGAACCCAGGAGTACTTAACCACTGAGCTACATCCACAGCCCTTTATAAACATTTTAAAATTTGAGACAGGGTCTCACTAAGTTGCTTAGGGCTTTGCTAAGTTGCTGAGGTTGGCTTTGAACTTGCAGTCCTCCTGCCTCAACTTCCCAAGTTGAATTATAGGTGTGTGTCACCACGCCCAGTACCCCATGTGATTTTTAATAAAGTTTTTTCTAGATCTGTGGACAGCTATTGCTGGTATAAAGTATGTAAGAACCTGAAGACCCAGGTTTCCATTCTACTTCTGCTACCAGTAATATAGCCCTGGGAAAGTATATTGGGCTCTCCTTTATCTTGCTTATCCATGATGAATCTGTTCACCTGAATCTAATCTCAAAAGAGTAATTCTGATGGTTGAGTAGGCAGGAACGTGTTTTACAAACTGATAAGCAGGCACCTGCAAATGTTAGTTCCTGGCCACTTCAACAGCCTTGTGAGGGCAAAGGGAACTGCATCATCCTCATCTCCCATTGCCCAGTGTGGTGCTGGAAAAGTGGAAACTTACATGGCTGCTAATAGATTGGCCATTGGGTAGATGTTGCAGGGTAATTGTTTAGCAGTCTATAGGACTTGGTTTTATTCCTCAAGTGTAAGGAATGAGAGCTTCCTGGCCATGTGAGACTGTGTCTCTATACTGTGGTCCTGAAGCCCCAGGATTCTACCCTGCCTGGCAAAGAAGATCACACTTCCAGAAAGGAAGCCCCTCTCTGAGCTCATCATCAGGTGGCATGCCAAAACAGGTCACTAGACTCCAGATGACCCTGCTGGATGCTTGCTAAGAGTCCTCTGCCTCTAGGCAGCACTGAGCCAGTCGTGAGCTCTTCTTGAGTCCATCTGGTGGCCTGGCATCCTGACAGTGTGCCCTGTCTGCATCAGCAAGGCTTGTCACCCTTTGGTTCTCTTGCTGTGCTAGCATTCGCTTCCTTGGCCAGCCTCATGGGCCACAGAGGAACCTGGCAAGGACCAGGCTGTACTTGTGCATGTTACACGAATTGGCTTGTTTTATAAGTTGCCTTGGGAAAGTGTATTGGTCTACTTGGACTCTCCTTTATCTCACTTATCAGTGGTGATTCTGTTCACCTGAACCTAATCTCAAGCAAGTAATGATGACTGAGTAGGCAGGAACATGCTTTATAAACTGATAAGCAGGCCCCTGAAAATGGGGTGGAGTTAGCAGAACTTCCTGGTCTAGATGGAAAAAAATAATGGCCCCATCATATCCACAGTGGAGGTATACGTTTTTAGGAACTGGATTCATTTGGAATTCCTCCATGGAAGAAATTTCTGAGATGCTTGTCAGAATAGAAAAATTTAGAATTCCATCAAAAATTTTAAAAAAAATCAACCCCCAGATCACAAACCTGAAATGTCATTTGTCTGAAAAATCCACACCTCAGTTTTTCCACTATCAGTTGTTCCCATGCCCACCCCAAGTTTGCCTAGAAATGGCTTAAATCTAATGTTTATTGGCCAGAGAATATTATCCAAGTTTTAAAAAATATTTTATGTACATATTTGAGGTTACCACAAAATATTATAACATACACATAGATGGTTAAATGGTTACTATAGAAAAGAAATTAATACAACCATCATCCCACACATGATTTTTTTCCTGGAGATATGGCCAGTGGTTAAGTAGAGCAGCTGAAACTACTTTTTTGACAAAAACCCTTAATATAATACAACCTTACTAACAATGGTCCTCAGATAGTGCATTAAATCTCTGGATCTAGCTTGTTACATCTTATATATCTGCTACTTTATATCCTTTGATCTATATAGTTCCTCTTTTTTCACTTGATCTCTCTCTTCCCACCCCAAGTAAACTACTATTTTATTCTCTTTTTTTTTTTTTTTTTGTACCAGAGATTAAGCTCAGGGGCACTTAACCACTGGCCATATCTCCAGCCCTTTTTTGTATTTCATTTAGAGACAGAGTCTCACTGAGTTATTTAGGGCCTTGTTAAGTGGCTGCGGATGACTTTGAACTCACAAGACACCCAGGTTACTATTTTATTCATCTCTATATATTGGACATTTTTTGAAAAGATTCCACATATAAGTGAGCTCGTGCAATATTTCTCTTTCTTTATATGTTTATTTCACTTGGCATGATCTTCACCCATGTTGTGGAAAATGGCAGAATTTCCTTTCTTTTTTAAATATTTATTTATTTATTTATTTTTAGTTATAGGTGGACACAGTTATCTTTATTTTATATTTATGTGGTGCTAAGGATTGAACCAAGTGCCTCACACATACTAGTTGAGTGCTCTACCTCTGAGCCACACCCCCGCCCCAAAATTTCCTTTCTTAAGGCTGAAAAATATCACATACACACATACACCCTACCACAGTGTCTTTATCCATTCATTCACCAACAGACACTTAGGGTTTTTCCACATCTTAGCCACTGTGAATAGTATAGCACTGAACATAGAGGCACAAATATGTTTACAAGGTGCTGTTTCATAACCTTTGGGCATGCATATACCCAGTCCTGTCAATTGTGGGTCTTGTGACAGTTTTATTTTTAATTTTCTTTAGGAACCACCATACTGTTTTTCATAATGGCTGCACCACTCTTCATTTTCATTCCCACCATTCCTTCCCCTTTCTCTTTGCCAGCACTTGCTCTTTCTCTCTTTTTTCACTCCTTAGCTCTTTCTTCTCTAGCACCTCCTCATGCCAGCACCCATAACACAGTCACTTACTGGTCCCTCCCCTCTCCTCTACCTGCCCTGGGCTTGCTACTTCTGGGCTGCCCCACATGGTTCATTCACCCCATGACTTTTACTCTCTGGGCTGCTGCTGCCTGGAATGTCCTCCCATTTCATTTCTCAATGACTGTCCCTCTGTATCCACAGGTTCTACATCTGTGAATTCAACTACAGATTGAAAATATTTAAGAAAAATTTGTGGGGCTGGGGATGTGGCTCAAGCGGTAGCGCGCTCGCCTGGCATGCGTGCGAGCCGGGTTTGATCCTCAGCACCACATACAAACAAAGACGTTGTGTCCACCGAAATAAAAAATAAATATTAAAATTCTTTCTCTCCTCTCTCTCTCTCTCTCTCTCTTTAAAAAAAAAAAAAGAAAAATTTGTGTCTGTACTAAACATGTCATTTTCTAGTCTTTATTCTCTAAACAATACAGTATAGCAACTAATTATTAGCACTTACATTGTATTAGATATTATAAGTAATCTAGAGATGATTTGAAGTATTCAGGAGGATGTGCATAGGTCATATTGCAAATCTTAAGTGGGGCAGAAGTTCTCATTGTGGCAGAAAACTGGCCTGTTTCCTCCAGGAGAAGCACTAATTGCAGGTCACCTTTACTTGACCTTGATTTGAGCCTAGTATCCAACTCTAATCCAGTCAACTAGGTCTTCAGAGGGAATCACTCTTGAATGGCTGCCAGCATTATAGCTAATTCCATGATTCAAGGCAAATTACCCAGCATACCGATTAGCCAAGCCCTTTATTTCCCTCTTCCTGCTCTCACTGAATCTACGCTTTTAACTCTGTGCCTGAGAGTCCTGCCCCAGAGACAACTTGGGCTTCTTTGCTCACAGAACAATCAGGAGGACATGGAATGCATTTCATTCTGCAACACTTTGGACTCCTTAGATGTCCTTCATTCTCTAGATGGGCTGAGAGTGGCCCATGTGAAGCTGGATGTGCTGTGGGGGCATCTTGTAAGCAGAGCTGTAGGCCTGCTTCCTGGGCCTGGCAGTCTCCTTCCTGCCATCCAGCAGGCTAAAGAACAAAGACCGCAAAAGGACAATGGGAAGAGGAGGAGAAAGTAAGAGGCACTAATGGGATCCGTCACCAGCTGGGTCCATCTGTCTAGAAGCCTGTCTCTGGTGATGGCACCAGGGGACATGTCACTGGAAAGCCTGCCTGTCCACTGGCTTGTCAAGCCTCGGCACCAGACACTCTAATTTCCTTAATAACAGGTTACAGACTCTGTATCTATAAATGTAGCTCAACCCTTCTCGACCTTTCTTTATTTTTAGCCAATACTGCTGCTCTGGATGTAACGGCTTCCGTAGCTGATTACTTTGTTCTGTAAATACCTTTATGTCAAATAGAAAGAAATTCTCCATGTACTGCTGGAAGACCCTGTGCTCTTAATCCTAATTTCTTGCCTTAGTGACAAATTCATGTTTGGCATATTGGGTCTATTTGGGAGGCCAGAGAAAAGTGGATATCTCTTTCAGTGTTGAGATTTTCAGATTCAAGTTTCCGTCCTTTGTCACATAGTGTCCATCAGGATCCTCATTCCTTTTATGTTTCTTTTCCTCAGACTTTCCTGCCTCTGTTTGGTCTATGTTGAAATACAACAGCTAAACTGGGCATGGTGGCACATGTCTGTAATCCCAGCTACATGGGGGGCTGAGGCAGGAGGATAGCAAGTTTGAGGACAGCCTGGGTAACTTAATGAGACCTTGTCTCAAATTTTTTAAAAAGTGGTGGGGGTGCTGAGGATGTGGCTCAGTGGTAGAGTGTACCTGGGATCAATTCCTAGTGCCACACACACACATAAAACAGAAAAACAAACAAAACCCACAGTTACTGATAGATAATGTCAAGTGCAGATCATTTAAGATCAGGCTTAGTCTGTTGTTCCTACTACCTTTTTGCATGACACTTTTTTGATTTTTGTGACTTTAACTTAGGGCCATTTTCAGAGACTACTAAGTGAAACCTCTCCGTTTAGCCACTGTGGCTGGGATGCACAGGTGCCTTGGGTGGTTTGGATTTGTCTCTCATGCTTGTTTTACATTTGCCCACCTTGACCTTGATCTCTCATATCATCATTTTTCCATGTTGCTTCTGTCAGTTCACATAATCAAATAGTAGGTGTCGCTTGGGTCTTCCCAGGGCACTAATGAAAATATTAGCTTGGACCCTCTTTGAGTGTTCTTACTGTTACTAATGCCGTCCGCGGGGGAAAGCAGCTCACCACTGCAGAGCATTTTTAACTTTTTAGAGAGGTTGACAACTGTTGTCTCTGTCTATTTCTCAGAAATCTGTAGAGAGAAGGTTTGTTCTGAAAATTGACAAAAACTGAAGCATGGAACCATTTTAGCTGTCCACATAATATTCTGAAATTAGAATTTCTGTTCCTCACCCTTAGTTCCTTCTAAAGTACTGTATTTTTTTTAGTTTTTTAATTTGTTCTATTTAGTTAGACATGACAGTAGATTGCATTTTGATGCATCATACATAAATAAAGTCTAACTTCTCATTTGTCTGGTTTGAAGGACTGTATTAAGCCATTTAACTTCTTTTTTTCTGATTCTATAGCACTTGATTTAAAAGAAATGAGAAGAATTAGTAAATGAAAGGAAGTCTTTGGTAAATAACCTTAGCAGAGATGTTTTTTGAAAAGGTTAAATCTACAGATTATTTCTTGTCCTCTTCAAAAGATTTATAACTGATTTAACAAAACCCTGCTTGTTTGTTTTGAGGTCTATCCCTCCTACTCCCTTATCAATTTGCATTTGATGGCCTTACAACAGATTTTCTTTTCTAACTCCTTATTTGGTACAGAATTGCAATGATTAGCTTTCCCTCTGGAGCCCTTACACAGAGATAAGTTGCTTTGACAATGGGCAATTTCATTAGGCCTGGAAAGTTGGCCAAGGACATCCTGATTGCCTAAGAAGGCGACAGCTCAGATCTCCCTGCTGCAGGAGGGTGGAAGTCTCTGGTGTCCTAATGCTTCACTGTGAATCAGTGAGAACAGCCTTGGCTGTTACTTCTCAAGCTGGTTGTGGGCAGACTGGGGGACACAGGGCTTCCAAGTGACTTTTCAGTGTACAGTTCTCTGAAGCTGTTTGTTCTTGTCTTTTTAGACTCTTGAAGGAGGCTCCTACCGGGGGAGCTTGAAAGACCCTACAGGCTGCCTAAATGAGGGGATGACCCCACCCACTCCTCCCAGAAACCTGGAAGAAGAACAGAAAGCCAAGGCCCTTCGAGGCAGGATGTAAGTAACTCCCCAGATCCCACTCTTGCAGGTGTGGCGGACCGTGGTGAAGGGCTGGGGGTACTTAGGGATTCCCCATGCTGTGCTTCGACTGATCTCAGAAAGATGTGAAGGTGACTCAGATCTATTCTGTGTAACAGTGATGAACAGTGAGCTACTTTGGCACTGTCTTGAGGAAGTTTAGGCTGAAGTGTCTTCTGTTAAGTAGCAGCTATTAATGACAAAGTATGGTTTTAACTAAGATCTGATAGAAATATTAAACATGCTGATAAAAGGGAAACTGTGGGACCATTAAGATGGGTCTGTAGTACCAGAGAATCCCTAATCATGGCAGAAAATCTGGTGGAGGTCACCAGAGGCAATATGCCTTAGGTATAGGCAAGTGAGAGATTAGAAGAGGAAGCTGTAGTACTGCCAGGTAGAGCTCATCTCAACCTCTCCCCAAGGGCTTTAATTCTGCATCATTTAGTTCTACAAAAACTGCCTTTCCACTTTGCATGGCTAGTGGTAAAATACAGTTCACATTGCAGTCTGTTTCACAAAGATCCTTGTGCAATGCAAGGTCCGGGTTATATGCCTCCTGTTATGTGAGATGATAAGGAAGATATGGATGCCAGTAATACAGAACCATAACTCCTCCCTTACTTTAGTTTTCTTATTCAGAGTTTGGCTGAGCTGGAAGCCAGCTGCCAATAAGTCTTGAACATAGCTCAGTGTGAAATCGTGAGCAGCAGTGAGAGTAGGGTAGGCAGATGGGAAGGGTCCCTCTCTGCTGTTAGTCTGCCCTTCTCCCTCAAATTAATCACTCCTTTTGCCAAGTCACTGCAAATTGATAAGGAAGTGGGAGGGATAGACCTCAAAGCAAAAAAGCACATTTTGTTAAATCAGTTATAAAAAAAATAAATGGGGCTAAATCCTTCTGTTACTGGGAAATGTGTCCAGTGAACATTTAGGACTTTGTTTCCTAGGAAACAAAAATAGAAACATCATAGCAAGAGCCTTGTGTCAAAGCAGGGCTGTCCCCTCACTGTGGGGAAGAACAAGAGGCATGCAAACTCTATAATTTCATACTTACTCCCACAACTTTATGGGTGCTTAGGAAGAACCTCAAGAAGTTGGTAAATGGAATCAAGATTGAGAAATGTCATTTCCACAGGGAAATTTCCTAGGACTTTTACAAAACTGGTTCTCCTTAGCTTACATCAGTCAAGCCAAAACAAGGCTTCTATCAGGGAAACAAAAGTTTTCATCAGGGAAGTGACCCACAAGGTGTCCAATGGTCCTTAGCAAAGACAAACACTAGTCTCACTCATGTTGACCAGGCCTATGAGAATTATGTCAGCCATTGTCCAAATATGATATTGTCTGATTTTGCTACCTTGGACCACAAGAGTGTGTTGCCTTTTTACCCAGGGATCCATCTCTCCTCCCTCATCTCATTCTCACCAAAGCCCCTATTTCTCCACATCCTGAGCTATCCTGAAAATCTACCCTACAGTGTCTCATCCCTTTTACTATATATCATCCTTTTGATATATATGGGAGAAGTAGGACAAATAAAATAAATTAGGTGGTATGTCAGAAGCTGGAAAAAAAAAAAAGAGCAGTATGAGGGAGATCAGGAATGTGGCCAGGCTGCGGTATTAAGTGGTTTTGACATTTGCACAAAAACCAGAAGGAGGTAAGGAGTTAGCCATGAGGAAGAGTGTTCTGGGTAGAGGGAACAGCCAGTGCCAAGGCTCTACAGGATTTCCTGTGGAAGACCAGCCCTTCCCTACCACTGTGAAAGAGAGAGGGTTAGAAGTGGGCCCAAATTATAGCTGGAAGAATTTCACAGGGACCAAAGAACAACATATGTTTGTACTTTTACTGATAAGAATTGAACATGGACAGTAATTTATTATTCATTCATTTGGCAATTAATCCTGTACTGCCTTAAGATGAATATAATTTAAATCTCTGAGGTAACTTTTCAGAATGTCTTTTAATGTGTCTTAATCTCCCCCAGATACTTTACCAGCCCCTTAAGGGAAAAAGGCAAGGCTCCCCAGCAGACCTGATGCAAGTCCCCTTCTCTAGAGGCTGACAAGCCTAGCCAGCCCCAATGTGTCAGCAAATGGCTGAAGATAAAAATATCATGTGGAGACAGAGCAGTAGACCTCATCTTCACAGGCCCCTCCCAGCCCCAAATTCCCACTCTCATTTTCCTGTGGTTTTCTTTAACCGCTGTCTTCCAAGCGGTACTTGGGTCATGCTAAAGATATATTTGAATGCTTTATATATTTGGCCTTGCCAGTTCCTTTCTGTGGCCTGAAACACTCGCTGGTCTGTGCTGGAGGGAACTGGTTGGAAGTGCTGAGCAGGCTGATAAAGAAGCATGTGTTCCTTTGCTTCCTTCTCTGGCCCCCAAGGCCCCTAGACCCTGGGGATTTGGTGGCTCCTCAGTGTCACACAGAACAAGAGTTTCAGCTGAATTGCTTCCTGGGTTCAAAATGGTTACAATCCCGGCACTGGGGTCCTTGTTTGACATCTCAGAACTTTACCCCTTTTGCCACTTGAGCCAAAAATATACTTGTGTGGCTTCAGACAAAACCTTTTCAAATCAGATAGTAAAGAATCAGACTCCAGTAGACTCAGAGCAGCCCCTGCCCTGTGCAGGGCCAAAAGCATTTTATGGATAGGTCTTCCTCTTCACTGTTGGACAGAAAAAGAGGAGTGTTTGGGGCTGAGGCTTCTGGGATTCCAATGAGCCAGTCTCAGCCATTTGCCAGGCAGTGAGCTACATGAAGGAGCTCAGTCTTTGGACTCTTGAACAACTGGGTTCAAATCCCATCTCTGTCCCTCACTTTGTAATCTTGGGCAAGTTACCTAATCTTTCCATTTGAGTATTTTCATTAAATAAAGTATGCTTTACAATACCTACATTTTTACAAGAATGAGAAAACCCAGATGAAGTAACTGGCCTTATAGTAAATGCTCTAAGAAGTAGAAATAATTAACAAGGAAGCCAAGAAAGTAAATGTCCTTGCCATTGTTCAATCCTGCGTCTTGGGACTGAGCGCTGCCTTCAAAGTTGTGAGTGAGGAATGTCTGCAGTCAGCCTTTCTGGCCTTGACTGGGGATTTTCCAAGCCAGTTACCATAGATACCCATGTGAATAATTGTAGCTTCTAGATTATAAAGTAAAAGTTTCTCTCCATATCTGCATTTCTGGGGCCTTAACAGCTTGTTATCAAACAAGTGTCTCTCTCCTCTCTTTAGGAAGAATGGAACTGAAACGAAGGAATAAGAGTCTCATATTGATCCTTTGGCCTCAAAGCTTTTGTAACTCAGTTTTGCCAAAGTAGTTGTAGTTCTTCCTGCCCTGTGTCTCTACAGTCATTCAGGGAGAAAGAGATATAAAAAGTAGAAAGAGGATTTCAAAGCAATTGTTCATCATCCTTGTCTGACTTGTGTGCTGGCTAAGGGAAAGTCCTTGCTGGCCTCGTGCCCTCAGAGAGCAGCAGTGAGCAACTCTGGGGTGCTTTAAGGCGTTTAAGTAACTTTACTGTGACCTTAGTGTGAAGACTTCTTGCTTAACAATAAAGAGGAACCCTCATTATTCTTCATCTCCTGCTCAGGTTTGTCCTGAATGAGCTGGTACAGACAGAGAAAGACTATGTCAAGGACCTGGGGATTGTGGTGGAGGTGAGTATCTGGTGCAGAGTGAGTTTGGGCTCACCCAACTAGGAGCAGGTTGGACCCTACATGGGCAGGGGGTTAGCTTGATGGCTGCATGTATTTTACTCTCTCTGGGTATTTGCAGGAATGGGTATTAAAATGATAGCCAGGTGTGTAATCCTAGAGACTCAGGAGGCTGAGGCAGGAGGATCACAAGTTCAAGGCCAGCCTTGGCAATTTAGGGAGACCCTGTCTCAAAATAAAAACCCAAGGGGTGAGAATATAGCTCAGCAGTAAAGCACCTCTGGGTCCCCAGTACCCCCCACACACACACACACAGATGATTTAAAGGGTATAATTCAAATGTAATATGCAGGCACTTTTTTTTTCTCCTTGAAACATTTATGATATTTAGAGAGAGGTAAGGGCACAAATATTATAGCATTTGGGGAGTTTCTTGATTAGAGTTGCATCCATTTCACCTTGTTTGGGGTGACCAAGTTATGATCTTAAGAGGCTATTGGATGTTTCCTCGTGTGAACATATATTCTTCAGAATTCTGAGCACTCTGGGCACAAACCAGGTAACTTTGAGTGGAATCTTGGGGCTTACACATTTCCTTAGAGTTCAAGGAGAATGTCATAGCTACTAAGGAGACAGACAAAGAAAAAGCCACCAATAAGCAAGAGTGACAGGTCCCCAGTTAGGAATCAAATTGGTAATAAATACAACAGCTCCAGCTCCATAGGGATTAACTTTTGAGGACTTAAGACACTTTTTTGGAGGACAAAGCCTAAGGAAGTAAATGGATAATTTAGATGGCTTAGAGCCCTTTTATTTAGCATCTTAAAAAGAAAGATAGGAATTCTAAAAATTGAATTCCTAATGTTTAAATTGCCTGCTGGTTCCTAACAGTTGCCCTTTAAGTCCTCATCCTGTGAACTCTGCTGATAGATGGCTCTGTATTTGCCAATCCTGAGCTTTGGATAAAGAGACTAACCAGGTATAGAGAGGACCTGAATTCTAATTTATGGAAAGTCACTCTCCCCCTTGGGAATCTGGAGATTGAGAAACTGAAATCCAGGAAATTCAGACATCAGTGGTATGATTAAAAGTAATGTAACATGGGTACCTTGGGTTTTTTTTATTTGTTTGTCTCTCTGATGGGGCCATGTGCTGCCTGAACAACCTCACAACCTGATTTTACAGCTGAAATGAGATGACATAGGACTGCTACAGAGTCTAAAGTGTTAACATTTTATGACTTATTTATAGGCCAGATGTATCTAGTTCTGAGTCTTTAAAAATATAATTAACTTGAGTTAGGAGACAGGGAAGGAGAGAGGATCGTTTTCTTCTTTGTTCAGCTTTCTTTTCTTTCTTTCTTTTTTTTTTTTTTTTTGGCAGAGCTGGGGATGCAACCCAAGGCCGGGCGCATGCTAGGCATGTGCTGTACCACTAAGACATAGAAACACCCAGAAACTTCATAAAAGTTTTGATTCTCACTCTGCCCAAGGGCAGAGTCTTGGCTGAATAGGAAAAACTACAGCAGCATTACCCTCAGATTCACACAAAGCATGGGCTTCTCTGGGTGCTCCAAGTGGCCTTGACCCTTGACCTGCTGGTGCTTTCTCAGGAGCATCCTCTTGTAACTACTGCCTGTCCCCTGCAGGGCTTCATGAAGAGGATAGAAGAGAAGGGCGTTCCTGAGGATATGCGAGGGAAGGATAAAATCGTGTTTGGGAACATTCACCAGATTTATGACTGGCATAAGGAGTAAGTGTCCCAGCTGCCCTGAGGGTCAGGGCATCCTGGGAAATCCTGGACTCTAGAATCCTTTTCTTGCATCTGATGTAAAAGTCAGAGATTGAAGGGAATCTCCTGTCATTTATCTCCCATTGAGAGGTAATGAAGTTCCAAGCAGTGTGACTTCCTCCTTTTATACTCTTCCCCCTTTTAGTTTTTTCCTGGCTGAACTGGAAAAATGTATCCAAGAGCAAGACAGACTGGCCCAGCTCTTTATTAAACATGTGAGTGACACACTGGTCTCCTCCCCATTCACTTTAAAATTCCTTCTTTCTTCCACTCTTCCTGGATTCACTTTTCTTCTTTCCCCTCTCTGAGGTTATTTTGTGTTTTGTTTTGTTTTTTTTCTTAAACCATCTTGGCCATGTGGAAGTGGGGTCTGGCCCATTACATTTCCTAACTGCCTCAGTGTTCCTCCAAGTGTGGGCCACCCCTGTTCCCATCTCCATGTGTAGAATAGCTCAGCACTCAGAGAGCGAGCACAAGACACAAGATACCTGACTGTTGCATTCCCCGTCTTTCCCTATGTTTTGTCAGGAGCGGAAGCTGCACATCTACGTGTGGTACTGCCAGAATAAGCCACGCTCAGAGTACATCGTAGCTGAGTACGACGCCTACTTTGAGGTGAGCTGCTCAGGCTTTGCTGAACAGGAAGGGGGAACTCAGGCCAAGAGAGCCACATTCAGAAACACCAGCCATCCTCCACCCACAGGAGTCGCTGCCTCAACAGAGCCATTAGCTGCTTACTTTAGTTCCCCTGAGCATCTTTGCTTGCAAGGAGCTGAGTTGGCCTCAGCTGTGGACTGCGCCGGGAGGAGCTGCCATTAGCAGAATGGTTCTGAAACAGAGACTGATTGGAAGCTGTGATCCTTCCCCAGTGACCCCGGAGCAAACTGTGCCCACATTCTTCTGCACGGCCCCCTGGGCTTCTTGCTGAGGCCTCTCCTTGGTTGAGGGGTTTGCAGTCACTTCATAGCCTTGGTTTCTATTCCCAGAGGTTTAAGCCTGGACGGATTGACTTTGTTGGTAGAGAGGCAGCACCTTCTCTCAGAGATCAGGGCTCAGCTGTATGGGTCACTGTGTCCTTGGGGCAGCTCTTCTTGCCTGACTCTGCTATGGAGAGATGAGAGAACCTGTTTCAGCTTGTCTCCCAAGACTGACAAGAGGACCAGGTGTGACAGTGCTTGCCATGAATGCACCGTAGCCAGGCAAGAAGGCTATAGTAGCCTGTGTGATGTTGTAGTGTTTTTAACAAACAAGCGGATGTATAGGCATTTCTACCTTTTTCCTCACTTGAAGATGCTTAAACTTTATTGGGAAACATGAGGATGGGTGATCCATGCCTCGGAACCCTGACCCAGAACACTCAGCTCTTGGATTCCTTTCTTTCTAACATAGCTCCCTTGTGTTTCAGGAGGTAAAGCAGGAGCTAAATCAACGGCTGACGCTTAGCGACTTCCTTATCAAGCCCATTCAGAGAATAACAAAATACCAGCTGCTCCTCAAGGTAAGAAGCTGGGAGCCCAGGCCAGGGCTGGAAGAGCATCTCCTTAGGCTACAGCCAGTGGCTCTGTCTCCTTCACACTGTCCTGAGGGACTGTGAACTGGGGGGGCAGGCATGGGCTTTGGAGGTGCAGACTTTTCTTTACTATATTACTCTGTAAGCTCTGCCCCAGATAATTTGCATAGCTCTTGCTTCTGCCTTTAAAACTGATGGTTACTTGATTTTTTTTTTCCAGTTCACTTTTTTTCACTGACTTAATACCTTTCAAAACTAACAAATAATGACATAAATTCAGAGTGGAATATGAGTGCAAAAAGAAAGGAAGGGCAAAGCCCTAAAGACCTTAGATGAGTGAAACCTAAAACTTGATCATATTTTATTTTAAATAATAGTTTGACTTGATTTTTTTTCTCCTATGGAATTTGAGACTAACTGGAAAAGTCTGGACTTCCCTTCCTCTCATGCTGTCCTGTCATTATCCACTTTACTTTCCTCCCTTCCTTCTTCCCTCCCCATCTCCCCTAGCTTTGAAATGTTGAATGTCCTGGGGGGGGTCTTCTTTATGTCATTACATCTAGCATGACTCATAATTTCATTTCTCAGCTACTGTAGACCATTGTCACCTCTGCCTAGAAAGAAACTCCTTAGGATGTTATTGCATTTTTACAATAAGTTTTTTTATAGCTCTCTGACTATTTTACTGACGAATTGTTCCCCTCCCTGGACTCCTCCCTGCTTCCTCTCCTTGCTAGGACTTCCTGAGATACAGTGAGAAGGCTGGCTTGGAGTGTTCAGATATCGAGGTGAGTTTTCTGCTTGTAATGCTTTCTGTTCTTAGGGACTGCATTAGGCCCTGAAGGGAAAAGATTGTCTCAGGAAAACCAAGGGTCCAGGCCAACTCCTCTCACTCTTAGCAGCATGAAAAATGGCTAGTTAATGTGCAAAGTGTTGTTTTCTAGAATTCAAGAATTCTGTCCTGGGCCAGCCTAGCACTTAGCCTACTGCTGCTCTCTTTGTGGCTGCAAGAGATCTGTAATAGGGAAAGGTGGTTTTTGACACCTTTAACATCCTCCGGAGAGTGGGCAAAATTGCAAATCCAATATGTAACTTTATCCACAAATCCAAGTAGTATTTGACTCCAACATATAAATATTCCACTTTCAGTCCCCCACCTCCATTCCAAGGATTACTCTCTAGGTGAAGTCCTTTGTGTCACCATGGGGATTATTTTAAGCCAGAGAGGTTATAGCCTTTCTGGGCAGGCTATTTTAGGTCAAAACCTCAGTATTTCCCAAGCCAGGCAAAGCTGTTACTTGGGCTATCAGGAAGCAACAGAAAGAAGAAAGAAAAGATGAGGAGGGAAAAGCAGGGAGATGGGATAAGAATGGACGAGGTAATGATGCCCCAACATGGGTGACTGACATGGAGCCCCTGCACAGATGACCAACAACCCCCATGTAAACAGAGCCCCATGGTCCTCTGAGAGTGGGCAGCAAGGACCACATGCTTTCCTAAAATAAAGGCACTAACAAGAGGCGAGGTCCCTGTCTTCTAGCCCTGAATTGCATGAGCTTCTTGTCTAAAGGCTGTTCTCTCTCCTGAGTGACCGGTGTTCTTTCCCGCAGAAAGCTGTGGAGTTAATGTGCCTTGTTCCCAAACGCTGCAATGACATGATGAATCTGGGACGCCTGCAGGGCTTTGAGGTGAGCCCTTGGAATGCTTCCAGCCCTCTCTCCTCTGGGTGGGAGTCCTGCCAAGTACTGAGGCCTCTTCCCTTTGAAGCCCCCTGCCATCTCTGCCTAGGCCTCTGGTTCCCAGGCCTGGAAGATGCATCTATTTAGAAAGTCCAGTGATAGGGCAGAAATAGAGCTCTTGGCCAAACTGGAGTCAGAATTCCAATGAATTTAGAAAAACCCAAAGTTCTTTATAATTAAAGCTGGCAATGACCTCTTCCCTCTTCCTTCCTAACTGAGAATGTGAGAGACAGCTGGATAGCAGGATATGTGATGGACATAGATCCTAAGTGGGAAAATGAATAGTCTTTTTTTTTTTTTTAGAGAGGATGGTTTCTGTTAAACAGATCTATGTAGTGACTGAATTTTTAGATCAGTGAACATTTCTAATTCTAAAACCTCTCAGGACACATTTCTGAACTTTGAAGAGAAGAACCATGCTAAGGAACAAAGCCAGATGTCCCAAGGATAACTGAACACACAGGTTTGCTAGGGCTGCCAAAAGAAAGTACCACAAATTGGGTTACTTAAACAATAAAAATTTATATCCACAGTTCTGGAGGCTGGAACTTATTCACCCAAACCTATATTTTAGGTTTGGGTGAATAAGTTGGGCCCATGATATTCTTGAGCCAAATTGTCTTGTCTTCCTTATCCTGTGTGTCCTTGTCTGGTTTCCATGTTTGTTTGTGATAGGGGATCAGTAACTGGCTGGAAGTTTGAAATCAGGGTGTAGTCAGAGATGTTTCCTTCGGAGCACCATGAGGGAAGAATCTGTTTCAGGCCCCTCTCCTTGGCTTGTTGAGGCTGATGTCATGCTCAGTGACATTCTCCCTGTGTCTTTACATCCCGTCGATGTGTCTCTGTGTCCACATTTCTCTTTTTTATAAAGACATCTGTCATATTCTATTAAAACTCAGACTGATGACCTCACTTTAACTTGATTACCTCTATAAAAACACCATTTCCAGCCAGGTGTGGAGGGGCATACTTGTAATCCCAGTGGCTCAGGAGCCTAAACAGGAAGATCACAAGTTCAAAGCCAGCCTCAGCAAAAGCGAGGCACTAAGCAACTCAGTGAGACCCTGTCTCTAAATGAAATACAAAATAAGGCTGGGGTTGTGGCTCAGTGGTTGAGTGCCCCTGAGTTCAATCCCTGATCCCCTCCCCCACAAAAAAGACCCCCATGTCCCTATAAGGTCATATTCAGAGGTCCTGGGGGTCAGAACTCCAAAATATGAATTGGGGACAAAGGGAGACACAGTTCAGCCCTTAACAGTGAACATTTGAAGACAAATTGACTTTCCTAATTTATACTTAATAAATGACTATTAAAAGTTGATGTCCAAATCTCATAAATTAAACATGTTTTGAATATTAATATGATAAAATTATAACCAACAGTTATTAAATTTTTCCAGGGGGATCAGTAGTTACTGATCCCCCTGGAAAAAGATGTGGGGTTTCTAATTCTGTTTCCCAGTAAATCCTGCCATCTATGATTTCATTATTCCTTTTTGAAGAAAATGGATTCTTTGAAGCTGAGATAATTAGTAAATGACCCCCCTCCCCATCCCCCACTCCCCAGCTAAATCAGAATAGATAAAATGGTACAGGTAAACTAGTGGTGTAAGTTAATCAGGAGGTGCTATATTTCAGATTTGGGTGAATAAGTTGGGCTCATGACATTCTTGAGCCAAATTGTCTTGTCTTCCTTATCCTGTGTGTCCTTATCTGGTTTCTATGTTTGTTTGTGATAGGAACTAGGTGGAAGGTCTCTAGCTGTTCATTTTCTTAGATTCCTGGCTCTCCAAGGCAGACCTGACATGTTAGCTTAAGCAGAGTTACTCAGCAGAAATACACTCTTTGAGTGTGTGTGTGGCTTTTCTTTGGTCATACTGGAGGGACTTTTACACTTTCTCCCTTGGCATTATGCCAAGTGTGAGGCTATTCTGGATAAACCAAGTAATCCCTTTTGCTCTTGGATCTTGAAGCCCCTGTGTTTTCTGAACAAGAGTCTGACTGGCCTTTCTCGGGTCTCTGGAAGAATGGCATCTGATTGTGCCATCCAACCCAAGTGAGCCTTCAGGGTGCATGTGTGTGTGTCCACGTAAGCCCACACACAGGAGCATGCAGTTCTTTTCTCTTTGAAATCAAGCAGCACTGACCTGTTTTCATCAAGCTGCAGAGAATCTGCTTTGCTTTCCTTCAGCTAATTGAGAAAGACAGTGAATGTATGTCTCTTCCCTGAATCCATGGCTTGGGACTGGGTAGAAGCTGGAGCCCCTCTTCTAATTCCCTCCCTCTCCAATCTCTGGCTTTCTCTTTAGCATTGGCTGCCTCTATCACACGATCAGGTTCTTGTATAATATTAATAGAGCTTTTAGAGTTTTCCTGGCTAGCTGGTCACTGGCTTAATATTAACTTTGGACCAGGGTAGAGATAAGCCTGTTTGGCTGTCGACCTTGGCAGTGAGAAGCCAAGCAGAGGGCAGGCATTTCTCAGGCACACAAAAGAAAAAATGACCCCTATGCCAGGTCATGTTTGGAATAAGGCACCAAGTGCAGAAAATGGCCCACGTTTGCACTAAAGGGTAAAAGTCGTCACCTGAGAAAGAGCACAGTGCAGAGGAGGGCTTCTGACCTCTGTCTCAGATGCCAGGATCTTTTTGTGCAGGCTTTCTGTAAGCCTCTGTGCAACTTGCTGGGTTGGGCATATTCCCTTTGACAATGTCTTTGAAAATCACATCAGAAGCTAACAAGCCAAATATACTGTACCTCTTCAGCTATGTAGCTTGTGGCCTCTTAGCTGGAGACATTTGACAAAGAATCACAGGACCCAGAGAAATATCTCCCATGTGATGTAGAGCCTATATATATGGTAACCCAACTTCACCTTTTGACCTTAGCAGGACACTTAAACTTCAGATTCTCCCCATCCTAAACAATCGAGGAAGGAGAGAAGGTCCTGGCTAGTCAGATTACTTGAGGCCTGCCTGCCTCACACATCTTGGCCACAGGTTGGTTCCAAGTTCCCGGCTACAGAGTGCTCCAGGTGCTTGGCCCATGCCACAGGGGAGGCAGGCACTATTGTCAGAGCTGCAAGGACAGAAAGGCCACTTCTAGTTCAAAGTGTTGCTTATCTTTTAGTCTCTTATTTTGGGGGGAGAGGGGGAGTACCAGGGATTGAACTCAGGGGCACTCACCCACTGAGCCACATCCCCAGCCCTATTTTGTATTTTATTTAGAGACAGGGTCTGACTGAGTTGCTTAGTACCTCACTTTTGCTGAGACTGGCTTTGAACTCATGATCTTCCTGCATCAGCCTCCCAAGCTGCTGGATTATGGCATGTGCCGCTGCTCCAGGCTTATTCTCCTTTTTAATAAAAATCATGAAGGGCCAGGATAATTCCCATTCCTTTTTAGCTAATAGTTCTACCTTTCTCTGGCATTTCCTGGGAGCTATTTTTTAATGGTTCTGTTACCCTTTTGTCCTTTCCCTCATGGGCCCTGTATGAATAGGATAGTGGCCTCAATCTGTCCCAGTGGGTGGGTCCCAACTCAGTGTCTTACTAGACTCCCAAGGCTTTTAGTGCCCATCTGTTTTCCATGTTCCCAGAAGGGAACGTCATATGGCCCAAAAGGACTGTGTCCGCCTTGCTTCTCACTGGCTTCTGGCTTCTGTCTCCATCAGGGCACCCTGACCGCCCAGGGCAAGCTGCTGCAGCAGGACACATTCTATGTGATTGAGCTGGACGCCGGCATGCAGTCCCGGACCAAAGAAAGGCGTGTATTCCTCTTCGAGCAGATTGTCATCTTCAGCGAATTGCTCAGGAAGGGCTCCCTTACACCAGGCTACATGTTCAAAAAGAGCATCAAGGTGAGGGGCCAGCAGGCATGCAGAAAGGAAGAGCCAAGTTCTTGGAGCTGTGTCCCTCCGATGAGGCCCTGGAGTGGTGAGGACTCAGAGCCTCAAGGACCTCTCAGCCTAATAGCCTTCCAGCAAGTAGGCTGAAGGAAAAACAGTGATCACCCATGGGAAACAGTGACAGGCCCCCAGCTGGTCTTCAGCAAGATCCTGCATGTTCTCCCCTCCCCCAAAGGCAAAAAACAAGAGTATTTCCTATTAAGTCCAAAGCAAATTTTGGAAACTTCTCTGAGATAAAAGAACTTTGAGGTACAGTAATAGGTACCTGTTTTGTGCAACTTCAATATGAAAAGGATCAACTTGTTTTTTCCAGATGAATTATTTGGTCCTGGAGGAAAACGTGGACAATGACCCCTGCAAATTCGCCCTCATGAACAGGGAGACTTCAGAAAGGGTCATTCTGCAAGCTGCCAACTCGGACATCCAGCAGGCCTGGGTGCAGGACATCAATCAAGTCTTAGAAACACAGCGAGACTTCTTAAATGGTATGTGCCACACCTGCTTCCTGCAGGGCCTTTTCAGGGAACCCCACACCTCTTACCTTCCTTGGGTCTAAGCTCTTGGAGAGTTATGAGCTCAGAACACATTTTATATGGACTCCAACTGTTTACTTTTCAGAAACATTTTAGAATTCTTTTGAACCTGAATTCACAAATGGAGCAGATTGGGTGTGAGAAAGAAGGCCCATCTTTCCAACAGAAGAGATCTTCTCTTCTAGGACATACCATGCATGCTTTTTGGCCACCACTACCAGCTGGTAATAATTTTAGAAAAATTCTGAGATGGGGACATCCTGTCTCATGGGGGCTGGCTGGCAATGATGTGTGTTTTCACACTTGGTGGCTAATGACTGGTACTCTCTCAGGCTATTTTTTTTTTCCTATTTTTAAATTTTTTGTGCTCTACCACTAAACTACACCCGCAACCCCTCACTAGGGTTTTGTAGAGATAACAGAATTTGACAGATCCGTTCCAATCCCTTCTCTGTTCCCAACACAGCAAGGGCCCAGATAAGCCACCCTCCTAAATGACCTTGTCCCTGTCAATTGAGAAGTGATCACTACCTCTAAATTTCCAAAATACCCCCAACAAATTGATTATATAGAGAATATAGCTCTCTATGACCCTCCAGGAATCCCCTAACATGTGGAATGAAGGAGAGTCCCTACCTTCTTCTGTTTCTTTATTTTTGCCCTGCTGGGATTTCTTCACATTGTTCTTGGCATGTGAAGGAAGTATACATTTTTACACTAGTGCTGATCTGCTGAATTGATGAGCTCAGAAGTCTCTCAAACATAAATGGAGCCTGAAGTTGAAGGCAAAATGGAACCAGTAGCAAAGTAAATCTGGACAGTCAGCAAATATATCTGTCTGGATGTATACACACACACACACACACACACACACACACACACACACTTATGCACACAGGACCTCCTCCAGATGTATCACCTCCTCTTGACTGCCCTGAGACTTGACTCCACGGCCATATGTACTCACACTTGTATGCACACATTCAAACACACACAAGACCAGCTCTAAGTGTCCCATCCTTTCTTCCCAGTACAGTGCTGACAACTATATCACAAGCCTATGTGTTTATGTCTACACACACACACACACACTCACACACACATGCACACATATCCACAGGTCCACCTCTGCATATATCACTTGCCTGTACTCAGGCTGGCACTAGATGGTAGGTGTACTCATACATGTACATATACATGTACACTCATATATGGGCCAACCCTTGGGCCTGTCACCTCTGCTTGTCAGTACTAGATCTTGTCAGTACTAGATAGACTTTCAAATGATACAATATAGCATTTTCTGGATGTCTAGCATGGAACTGAATGCTGTGGAGAAAGATAAGAGATGACATCCTAGTTGAGGACTTGGGCAAGGCACGATGTGTCTCTGGGCCTCAGTTGACTTGCTTTTTGAGAAGGAGAATTTGGGGCTAGGGTGGTGGCTCAGTGGTAGAGTGCTTGCCTAGCATGTGTGAGGCCCTGGATTGAATTCTCAGCATCACATATAAATAAACAAAATAAAAGTCCATTGATGACCAAAAAACATATATGTAAATAAAGAATAAAAAAGAAAAAAAATAAAAGGACAGTTTGGGGCTAGATCTACTCTACCCATGCTGGGATGAGCCATGGTGGGCCAGCAGTATTGGCTACAAGGAAGCATGGCCCACTGACCTGAAGTGTCAGTTTTCTCCATGGTAAAGGAGTAAACACAATGTTTTTATTTTTAAAAAAAAAAAGAGATTATATAGCAGGATGACATGACTTTTTAAGAGAGAATATGCATATTTACAAAGAGTTTTGGGGGGGCCATGCCCTCTGCCCTCCAGCTATACAAAAGGTTGGTAGAAAAAACTAGACTCTCTAGAGTTCTTTTCCATTCTAAAAAAATCTAAAATTCCCCCCTGAGGGATAGTAGCAAAAGTTGTATTTAGCTTAAAATTTCTGAATATACAATTTTGGATTAATGTAAAGACATGTAAATATACAAAATATATCCATTTAAATTGCATCCAACTAATTAGTAATCTCTGATTCTAAGCTGGAATGAGGATTTTAAGTTCAACAACTTAAGACCATAGAAAAATAAAGTAGGACAAAATGTGAAACCATAAACTGTTTAAGTGACAATAATCACTCTCATATATTGAGTCCTTATTGTACACCAGGCACTATATTAAGCAATTTTACCTGTTTTTTTTTTCACATTTTATCCTCACATCAACATGGAAAGACAAGTATTATTATCCTACTCTTTTTCAGGTGACAAAAAGGAGACTCAGAGAAGTTAAGAAACTTATCCAAAGTCACAAAACACTAGATGATAGAAAAAGTGAACCTAGAACTACAAGATTTCAAATTAGGCTCTTAACCACAAGATTGAAATGTAGTTGCTAGTGGAAGGACTTACATGTATCTATGAGCTCCCTAACAAGCAAAGCAAAGAAAGAAACAGACTGTGGCATAAGACACTGAACCTATCAGAGATACAGTTTTTCTGATCCTAAGATCCAAATGATGCAAACTGAGGCTGATAAAAGAAGGTAGGGCTTTGGGGCTGGGGTTGTGGCTCAGTGGTAGAGCGCTTGCCTAGCATATGTGAGGCACTGGGTTCGATTCCCAGCACCTCGTACAAATAAATAAAATAAATGTCCATCAACAACTAAAAAATTTTTGAAGAAGAAGGTGGTAGGGCTTCTATATAGCTAACTTAAGAAAGCATACTTCTTCTCCAATGTTTTAGCACAACCATTGCAGATAACCAGGTAGGAACACAATTTCACATCCTAGGTATTGAGTCATGGATTAGATTTGATTACTAACTAGATTATTGTTACCTAAACATTTAATGCCCATAGAAAATTCCCCAGGCACAAGTCTGAGCTCTGCAATCCTGTTACCTACTTGGCCACACTTGAGAGACAAGGCTGTGGTGATGGCCCAGGGCCAGGCTTTTATTTACAGAGACACACAGAAGCATCTCAACCCATCTTTCCCTCCTAAGACTCAAATAGAAAAGAGTGTGGCCCTATGTTGAATCCTATGCAGACCTGTCACTGTGGAAATACCTTTACAACTGAAAGTTCTCAGGGTTCCTGTTGTTAACCCATTAGCTATCACACTGATTACTGACCAGAATAATGTCATCAGGCCAGTCCTTGAAGTCATCCAGCATTCTACCTGGATGGCATTTGCCTGGCTGTACCTCTTTAGTGATCAGTCTTGGGAATTTGGTTATCTTAAACTCAATAAAACAAAGCTCATGTCTTTCTCTTAAAGTTAGCTTGTTCTCCTGTCTTCTGAGCACTGACTACCGTTTTCCCAGTCTCCAACCTGAGCCATCTTCCTTTCCTGCTTGCTGATCCCAGCTAGACCATCAGTCTCATCTCTGCTTTATATTCACACAACCCTGCTCTCGCTAGATCCTGTGGCCTCTTGCTGATTACTGTCTCCTGGCTTCTAAATTAGACAGGAAGCCTTTTGTCTCTTCCTCTTCAACCCCTCTGCCAACTACTACAAGGTTGATGTTCATAAAATGTGTCTCCAGAGATAGAATCTGAATTTACAACTTTAAAGTTCATTTTTTAAAACATTTTTTAATCGTAGATGGACACAATACCTTTATTTTATTTATTTATATGTGGTGCTGATGATCAAACCCAGGTCCTCACACATGCTAGGCAAGTGCTTTACTTGAGTCACAATCCAACCCCTTAAAGTTCATTTAATCCAGTCCTTTTTCATGATCTGCAGAATTAAATCTAGCCTAAGAGTCTTGGCTTTCTATATCATCCACTTCATCACCCTCAACCTCCCTTGCTTATCTGAATCTTCTTCTCCATGGAAACCCAAGGGCTTCAGCTCCTGGGACATCTGACTCCAGCCTGTTCCTTGAAGACCTCTCATTTGCTTCCTTCCTGCAGAATCTAAATATCAGAGGGACAGCCAGCCCTCTCCCAAAGCTCTTTATTCCCAATCCCCTATCCCCAGACAACACACACCTGGAAGCACGTCCCACAGAGCCTGCTCTCCTCCCCTCCCTTTGCACACTTGGTACCTAGAATGTACTGCCATTTTGTTTTTTATTTTCCTTATTTAGGAAGGTGCCCTGGTTCTCACAGTTCTATAAAAACAAAGGTCGTAACTTCCTCACATATCCACACTCTGCCTAGCACAAAGCCCAGTACCTGGTAAGCCTCCAGATCCTCATGGGATTCCCAAAGCTTAGGATGACCGGCTGCCCTTACCTTGCAGCACTACAGTCACCCATTGAGTATCAGCGGAAAGAAAGGAGCACAGCTGTGATTCGGTCCCAGCCTGCTAGAGTTCCCCAAGCCAGCCCCAGGCCCTACTCCTCTGTCCCCATGGGCTCAGAGAAGCCCCCAAAGGGCTCCACCTACAACCCACCTCTGCCACCCCTGAAGATATCTACCTCCAATGGCAGTCCAGGGTTTGACTACCACCAGTCTGGGGACAAGTTCGAGGCCAGCAAGGTAAGTGCCAGCTCTTCACTCCTGCCTTCACCACCCTGCAAGCACAGCCTCAGAGGCCACTTTAGGAAACAGCATTTTTTATGCTAATTATTTTAGCAGGAACACTCCACTTAATACAGTCTAGTCTCAATTATTTTCCTCTCTTCTCCTATAAATTGAGTTAGACCAGTTCCCTCTGACTCAGACACTCTGTGTTAAAGGGCTATTATCAGCTACAAAAACTTAATAGATACAAAGGATTATTGTGATGATAAGCTTGAAAATGGTTGAATTTTACCAAATAGAGTAGTAGTGGTTATGCGTAATCTAAAAGCCACGACTCCAGTGTGTGCCATCTGCAGACAGCCCTATTTTTCCTCTTTCTTTATTTTTTATTTTTTTTTAGATACACTTGACAAAGAGTATATTTTGACATAGTATACCTACACAGAGCATAACTTTTTATAACTAGAATCCCATTCTTGTGGTTGTACATGATGAGGAGTTTCACTGTGGCGTATTCATATATGAACATAGGAAAGTTATGTCCAATTCATTCTGTCTTTCCTCTTCCCATCCTCTCTCCCTTTCTTTCATTCCCCTTTGTCTAATCCACTGAACTTCTGTTCTTCCCTTCCCCCACCCCCACCCATCATGTGTTAGCATCCACATAGCAGAGAGCATATTTGGCCTTTGGTTTTCTGGAATTGAGGAGCCAGCCCTTTCTAATGATGGCCCATCTTGCACCTAGGGAAGCAAGTTCACAGTTCTTCACCACCCAGTGGCTGATGTGGCAAGCAGAAGCTGATCATGAATGTGTGAACGGGGAAGCCAGTCTCCACAATCCATGCTTCAGATATTACTTGAGGATAATTGTAGACCTAACCATAGAACTAGTCTACACAGCTGGTTTGACCCTTAAAAAAGTAGTAAGAAGAAGAGAGAAATGGGGAAAGCGCTAGGTTAGGAATCAAGTGATCTGGTTTATATTCCACATTCTGAAACACACTTGCTTTAAAACTTCAGCAAGTTTGTTTGTCAGGCCTCGGTTTTCCCTAGAGCTCAATGAGTCTGTGAATAGGGCAGCCTACATTGATTACTTACATAGTCTGAATGTGTCATTTTATTTTTCCCAAAATTGTTAATTGATATTCCTCTTGTTAAAATTAATTCTTAATGTCCAAGTTCAATTTTGTTCATATTGACTGTACCAACCTATTTCATCATATCACCTGGAAATGACTTTGTCCCTTATAAAGATACAGCCCTTGTGAATCAATGGAAGTCAGCTTGGCATTTGGTCAACCATATTGAAGAGTTTCTGGTTCCCAGCATGCTGTAAGAGGCGCCAGGGCCTCCTGGAGAGGTACAGGTCTATCAAGAAGCAGTGGCCCTAGTGGAGACTCAAGTGAAAAGGTGGAATAGGCAGCACCTTCCCTATTAATGAGGGCAGGAGGTGAGGCATTTTGTTCCCACAGGGAATTGGGCCAAGGTAGGTCATGGCATTGCCTTCAAATGGAGCAAAAGTGTATTCTTCACTCCTGTCTCAAGGAGGCTCAGAATGTAGAACAAGGTCAGTTGATGTTTTTTCAAAAGGAAAAAAAAAATGTAGTAGCAAAGCATCTGTGTTCTTTCCACAGAGGAGGATGGTGACCCCTGACCTGAGCTTTGCTCTGACCGTGCTATGCTCAGGTACTTATGTATCCCTAGGCTAGTGCCAGGTTCTTCCTGCCATTAGCAAGAGAACACTATCAGGAAGGTTGCATACTATGAAGGGGCTTTCAGGTTGAGGGTATTTTACACCTTTGCTTGGTCTAGGGCTAGCAGTATTTATACCTGTTCACCCTTTACTTTACTATCCTATGTAATGTGAGAACATGTTTATGAGTATATTATTACTGAAGGAATGTTCTGCCTGCTGATGGCTTGGCCTTAGCCATGCAGTAGGGTGCAGAGCAAGCACATCTGAACCAGCCTCCTTGTGTTTATGTCCTTTTCATCCTTGGCTTTTAGCAGAATGACTTGGGTGGCTGCAACGGGACCTCATCTATGGCTGTGATCAAAGATTATTATGCACTGAAGGAGAATGAAATCTGTGTGAGCCAAGGTGAGGTGGTCCAGGTCCTTGCCGTCAACCAGCAGAACATGTGCCTGGTGTACCAGCCTGCCAGCGACCATTCCCCCGCAGCTGAGGGCTGGGTCCCCGGCAGCATCCTGGCGCCCCTCACCAAAGCCACAGCAGCAGCAGAAAATAGCGACGGGAGCATCAAGTAAGTGCCTCGTTGACTTCCCCGGGAAAGGAGTATGTGGATTTAAAAAAAAAAAAAATCAGAAACAAAAGAACACAAAAATGCAAACACACAGTAGGGAATTACTGCTGCTTATCCTCGACAGTGCCACTGGAACCAAGGGTTGAGTGCTGGCACCTCCCGCAGCGTGCGGCATCCAGGCCGGATTGTTCTGGTTTAATCTGTTGGTGGTGGTTGTGGTTTTTCTTTGCTTTTTGTTTATAATTTTCTGTTTGTTTTTTTCCCTCTCCCCCCACCCACTCATTAAGACAAGAACCCTACTGAAACCCTAGGTGACAAAAGGCATGCCTTCCGTTGCTACATTTGACCCACCACGGGACTCACTGGACTGGACTTCTATTTATATTGTATGAAGTTACTGAGATATATATATTTTTTTTTGATTGACACCAAAAAATGACCTTAGCACAAATGCCAGACCTGAGTAGGTCAGAGCCCGCTGCTTCTCCCAGAAGAGAGGGAACTTTTTGGTTGTCTGTGGCAATTCCTCTGTACAGATTGTAACTTTTTTAAAAATTCCCCCCCTCCCGTGTCACTTTAATATATGTTCATGGTAATTTGTAAGATATTTCTCTTCCTTATTTTCGTTGCGAAAACCCTTCCGAACACATTCCTGTATAAAATATTTTGCACTATTTAAAGAAACCCATATGGATGAAGTCAGGTTGTGCAATATGATGGAGAGTCACAATGTTCATCATTGTACCTGTAATGTAACTAATAATTTTAAATGTACTATTTTAAATATGTAAAATAAATTTTCACCATGAGCATGTTTTAATGAAGTTAAAAACTAGTTGACCCTTTTTCCCCCATCTCATTATTCTTGAACTCTTAAATGTGCAAATGATTCTCCTTTTTTTTCTTTCCTTTTCTATATTTTAGGAGTTGGTTGAATGCATTGGCAGTTTTTTTTCTACATAAAAAGTGTCATTATCACTAAAGCTATGACCGTAGCCTTTCCTTCTAAACAGCCCTTGTTGGTTTTCTCTGACTTCTGAGATGAGATGCTGTCCAATGGGTTCCTAACAACTGGACAACTTTGAGGTGCTGACGTAAATGAATGGCTAGAGGAGAGACAGTGTTTGGCTTGCTTTTCATGCTGCGTGGTCAGCCACAGAAGGGGCCCAAGGCACACCAGTGAGGTACCTGAGCCATGGCACCAGCAAAACCATGCTGCTTTGGCCCTTCTGGGTCAGGGGATAGAAGCTACTGATTACCTTGGCCTTGCCAGGTAAATGCAGATCCAACTGGAAATCTGTAGTGGCCCCTAAAACAAACTGGGCCCAATCCATTTTATTCTAAAAATGTGTGATTTGGGTGCCTTTTAGGAAACTCTGGGAATAGAGACTCTTAAAGCACTGACGTCCTCATTAACCTACGGCCTGGCAGAGCCAACTCTTAGTGACCTATGCCCTAGTTACCAGGCATTAAGCACTGCTTCCTCCTCCTCACTGGGTCTCTTGGTCACTCATTCATACTTCCCATTGGAGGGAAGGGAAGAGGAGGCTCAAGCTAAGGAAAGAGAACAAATTGAAATACACACTGTTCATTTTGGTCCTTATCAGCCTCTCTTGCGTGAGAATTGGTGTAGGTGGAGGAGAGAAACTGCCTAAAAATGGTGTTGGTATTTATCAGTGATGGTCACTCCCATGCTAGGACCACAGGGGTCAGAGCTGGTTGCAGTGCCTACTGGATAAATGTCACAGGAACCCTGTGTCCACATCAGTCCCCAGGCTTGTGGCCAAGAGATGGAAGCTCCCCAGAACATGATGACGAGTGCTTCTGGGAAGAAAAATTGAAATTGAGCCTGTCCTGCCACTTACACTACTCTAAGTGTTCTGAATGCTATTTTTAACATTTGTCACTTCTTACCAAGCGTACTGAGGAGCCCAGAGGGTGATGATAAACAAGAACACTCTTCCAGGTGCACACACACATATACGTACACACCATGCTGACAGCCCCAGGGGACCTTTTCAGCAAGGACCTCCCTGACTTGAGATATTCTTAGAAGGAGCCAGGGACATGGATTTGGGAGTAAAAGTTTGAGCTAAAGGTTTGCTCCATGCCTGTTCTCTCTGAGAGAAGAGCTGGAGCAAGGTACTAGAACACAGGCCATCTAGAGAGCCTGCCCAGCCAGGAGGTCCAGGCAAGCTCTGGCCTTCTAAAGGAACTCACTGTGCCAAAAGACCCAGGAACCTGTGATTGCATTTTCCTCTTCAGGTTAATTGTTGAGCCTGTGTGTTAGGTGATGAATTATTTTTGGAACACCTCCCTTGGGACATCCTGGCATATAAGGAGTGTCAAGGAGATGCTCTGTGTTTTGGAGTACCTTCCTTCCCCCTAAATCTCACCTATCCCTCTCCCTTAATGAAGATTCTCCTCCCCATGTTTGACAAGGCACACTGATGGGATTTCAAGCCTCACTTAACTGCAGACAATGATTGGAACTTCACCCAAACCCTGTGCCCACACGCAAAATTGATGCTGCCTGCTCAGGGTCTCTGATGCTGTTTTTGCCTTGACTTTTGCTGTCTTTGTCTTTAAGTCTGATAGATGTGGAACTGTAGAGCTCTGTTCCAACCTTCCCTTTATAGAATCTCTGAAGAAGGAGCTCCCAAACTCCTGGTGGGAAAAAAAGAAGTTAGAAAGGCATGAAAAGGCTCTGCCACTGTCACCTCCCTGGGAGCACATGTTGGGTCTTGTCTCAGCAGGGAAACTTGAGGACCTATATTCACAAACATTGAGTGATACAGAGAATAGTCCAAAACCCTTTGTCCTAAAGTACCCAGATACATGAGTCCTGCTCAACCACTTATTAAGTCAGCTGCCCCAGAAATCCTGTCTGTTCTACAGTATTTGGGAGTGGCCATACCCAAACATAAACAATAAGATGGAACCTCAAAATCATCCTTTTGGTTCATTATATATAGGCCTGGGAAACTGTCAGTAGCTCATGCACAATAGAATACACTTCCTTTGACTTCCCTATTCCACTCCGACTCATTGCTTCCAATCCACCCTGCCCTCATGAGAAGAACTCAGTCCTAGAAGCCTCCATCAGATGATCTGCAAACCTCCCAGGGAACTTTAATGATCCAGTCCTCATGTTTTCTCCACCTACTGTAATCACTCTTGTACATCCCTCAGGAAGGGTCAAAGTTCATCCTTGCTCACTTCCGGTGGGAGGTGAGATTAGCCACCAGCCACTACCTGGCGTGCAGGATTGGGGCCTTGGAAGCCAGGGATGGACTGGAGCACCTCACCTGACTCAGTGGCGGTGAGCCCACCCACCGCCTCACTCTGCCCCAACCTGCGGTTTTGACTGGTGCATTTTTTGGTACAACAGGAAGTCATGTTCATGGCATACTCTACGCATGAGAAAGCGGGCAGAAGTGGAGAACACGGGTAAAAATGAAGCCACAGGGCCTCGTAAACCCAAGGATATTCTGGGCAACAAAGTCTCTGTTAAAGTGAGTAAGGTATTCCAGAGCTGTGTCCCTCTCATCTACTCCCACCCCGCAGCATTCTCACAAGGCAATTGGGGTGGATGGGGATTTTTATTTTTTATTTATTTATTTTTTGGGGGCCCAGTGTCGGGACCAGAGGGGAAGTAGTTTAGCAGGATTTTGCATGCAAGATCAATTTATTTTTCATTTTTTATTTCTCCTGGCAACTTCAATTCAAGTAAGTACTTCTTTTGTTTTCTTTTATACTTTTCTTTTTATACTATGCAGATGTTTTAAAGCAAAATTATCTGCAGCATTATTCTCTTAGAAATGCAAGATGCTTCGTTCATATTAAATTTCTCAAAGCTGCCCATTCAGTATCCTAGGTTTGGGAATACATGCAGGTTAAAGGGATTAGGGATGCCCTCTAAACCCCTAACTCAGTGAAAGGCTGAAGTTGGGAGTTTAAGGGCCACTGTGTCCTTGGTATAGTTTTATTTCTTTTCCCCAGGGTTCAGACAACATCACCTTTAAGCATTTTACTTGCCTCTCCGAATGCACAGGTGTGGCAGAGAGGCACATTGGTAAAGCTCAAGTTATTGCTTTGTAATAATCCATCTATCACTTTGAAATCACAGGTCCTGAATTTAGCTGACCCTTGTTTTCCCCAACAATATAATATCCATTGTGTAAATTGAGCCCTCTGAAAAGACCTTCCTCTGGACAATGGAAATTCCACACTCATTGATTTTGTGAAAATGTGTCATTGTCTGCCTGGCAATTGGTTTGCCCCCTTAAGCAGAGTAACAGCAACTAACACCCATTCTAACATCCTTCTTGGGGAAAAGAAATTGTGTGCTTTCCTTGGCCCCCATCTGAGAAGTCCAGCCTCACAGGAGACAACAGTTGAAATTCCACAGCACTCATGCTTCATTCAGCCGCTTCCATTGCTCTTTCCTGTGAGATAAGCAGCTGTCCACAGTGCCAGCCTCCTCTCCCTTAAAAGAGCATGCTGCTGCCCTTGTGACTCATGCCCCCATATTCAAAGCACTTGGTTGCTTCTCTGCCCAGTTTCCCATCGACCATGCTTCTCTGAAGTTCTCCTCTCTCGTAGCCAAAGCTACCTGCATTCTAACTATGTTCTCTTTCTTCCCCCTTCCTCATGCTGCCAACCAAGGAGACGAACAGTTCCGAGGAGTCAGAGTGTGATGATCTTGACCCTAATACTAGCATGGAGGTAGAAGCAGCTATGTTGTCCTATTTCCTATCATGATTGCCTTTTTTTGATTTTTGTTCTGTAACAGTGACCTTGCTATAGTGGCCAGCCATTCAAGGATAAATTGCGATGTTAGGGCACCTCCCGGTGTCCCCTCCCAACTAAAACAGCAACAACAGCAGCAACAAAAACTGAATTCAGTTCTATTTTGGTAGAAAAACTCTATCTCATCTTTTTTTAAAATTACCGAAGTGTGTAGTTCTCTTGAATGCTTGTTTAATATTTTCTTCTCTGGCAGGTTTAGCATTGTGTTGAAAATATTCAACCTCATTATTTGAATCAGAACTTTTTTTTTTTTTCATGGAAAAACAACACTGTAAATAGTGGCTTTGTTTTTCCTTTTTGTTCACTCCTACACCCTTGGACTTTTCCTTTTTCCCCTTTACCTTCTTCCTTTTGTCCTTCTTCTGCTGGAATTTATTCCTCCTTCAATGCTCCAGAAAAGTCATGGGTTAAGTGTGGTTTTGCAGGTGATTTGGCTCCTGGTCACTACATGTAGCAAGTTGGTCACAAATGAGGTGTGATAAGAGCAACTGGGAGGCACACCTTTGCCCCATCCCTGGGGTCCATGGGCAGTGTCTATATCATCACATGAAGGAAAAGAAGCCCTGGGGATGGCCTTCCTCCCAGAGCGTGGGCAGAGGTCTCTCTGGAGATTGTGAGAGTGGACACCGCAGGCGGGACCTTTTCTGCTCTCCAGGTTTACAAGGCTGAGGGAGATGAGCCTGTGCTTCTGCCAACAGGAACATTCATCTCCAACTCCTTGTAGTCCATGAGGTTATAGAAACAATGGCTCTTCCACAGTTTGCACTGAAATACAATCATCACAAATTCACAAACCACAGAGAATTAGATCGAGTGTCGAGCTGGCTGTCCTTGTCACATTGTCTTTCAGAGTAGATGGCAATGCTTTTTTCCAAAGCTATGTCCTCATTCCCAATACCAGGTAAAAGTTCCAAGATTTCCTGTAAATGCAAAATAGGGAATGTTTTTCAAAAAGCTTTTCCTTTATATAGCCCTAAGCTTTTCACTTAACTGTATGAGATGTGATAGGACCTTAAATTATTATTCTTAAATTTAATTTAACCTAATCTCAAAGAAGTCTGCCATATTCTTGACAACCCCCACAAAACCTGAGAGAGCCCATAAGGCCTGAGATGGGTAAACCAGCTGTGGAAGAAGCCAACTGCGTGGAAACAGACCAGAGGCAAATGGTGGAAAATGGGATTTCTTCCAGAATAAAATAGTCCCCTGTGGATGTGAGCATTGCCACTGAGCTAAATCCAGCAGGTGTGGTCAATACAGCGCTCCACTGTGGGAGGAAGTGGGTGTGGCCATTGTAGCCTAAATGTATCTTAGAGAATAAGGAAGCTGAGGGAAAATTCTGTTCCTACTTTCCTTGCATTTTATAGGATAGGCACCAGCATCTGTGGGTTAGGCAACTGACAACTTGTAGATGCCAGTGGCACTTTATCTCCAGGCCAGGTGTTTCTGGCATGTGTCAAAGATACCAGCTGCAAGCAGGGTGGGCTAGTGAGATGGAGGGGGAAAGCCAAATATCCGTGTTCCAGAAGGCAGTTTGGGACCTTGTCCAGCTCTGGTGGCTTAGAGGGACAAACATGACTTTCCCACTCTCTGAAGGAAGAGATGGGTGCAGAGGGCTGTGCGACCAGGTGAGTAGCACCCACTGAAAAAGTTAACTCATGTAATCAGATGCTATGTTCTACATCTAGATGAGAAAAAAATGCACAGGTGCACACATACATACCTTAGTGCTGCCTTGCCAATTGAACATGTTTTTAAGGTTTTTATTCATGGAGGCTGATGGCCCTTCTGAGAGCTGAGTGAGGTGGCTCCCTTGGAGGCGTTACTAGGTGCATAAACAAATACATTATGATGTACGTGTGGAAAAGAGAAAAGCCAAAAATTGTGTTGATGCATGTCCAAAAAACATTCTTCAAATACAATGGTCAAGGCACAAAGTTTCTTTTAGGCAGAAATTTCAGTTAACTCAAACCCTTAAGGGGCATGTGATCTGAAGCTGCAAACATCCTGGTTAATGATTCTGTAGTAGTCATGCTTGCAGCCCTGGCACATTCCATGTAGATCCTCCTAAGCTTCAGTGTGCTCTTCTGAATATGTTACCATCTTGAAATTAACTCTGGGCATATGAGCAGCCAGAGGAAAAGCCAGCATTGTGGCACTGCTAGTTTGGTATTTTCAGACACAAATAACAAATCGGATGTGGGAAATTAACCTGTTTTGTTTGTCATGACTTGAAAATTTCTGAAGGGATATGCAAGTGGAACTTTATGGCAACAAACATGGTAGATGAAAAAATGACCAAGGGGACATAGTAAAGACCAACTTGGAGTGCCACCTCTTGAAGTCTTCTTGCTGTTAAAGCGATCACTTAGTACCTCATTCCCAGAGCCAGGCTGGCCCCTGACCTCACCCTTGTCTTCTGAACATGACACTGTAATAGGTGTTGGCTCTGGAATTAGGTCCTATGCTCTTGCTGGGCTGAACTACAGCCTCCTCTGTTACTGGAACCCTGGCTTTCAACCTGGCACTGTGTACCCATGTGTTTGCTCAGCACCGGGTCTCCAGATGTTAAATCCTGCCCTGCTGACTGACTGCCCTTGACCTGGTTTCATCATGTTCCTTCCAGTCCCAGCTGTGTACAGACTCATCTCCTGCCTCCATGGGAATGATGTCACCAAAGCATTCTTTACTTTCTCTCAAATGGTGAACTGAAGGGTCCCCTTAAGGTTCAGTTTCCTGGGGATTTTGCTTACCCACTGGGTGCCTGCCACCCCAAGGTTGGCATATGTCTCTAACCACCCTAGTATTTGGAGGAGATAATAGGCACGTCCTTGAAAGCTAATTAAGAGAGAAATAAAGTATGTTGAGTCTTAGGAATCTGATTGACAAAAGATACCCTGTTATGGAAAGGGAGCAATTAGCTCTGCTCTTTTCCTCCTCTTCCTTCCCCTGCAGAGACAGCTTATGGATTCTCAAGCCCAGCCCCACTCACCAGCCATTGCAAGGTTGGCTCTAGGTCCATGTGGTTCCCTGGTGGCCTGGTCTCCTGTCCTTCTGTGACTATCCTTATCGAGAACAGATCTCGAAATGATGACCATCTGTCTCTAGAGCTTTTCCTTGCACAGATAAAACTTTGAGAGTGAGAGTAAAGGGGAGTATTATATATGAGAGAAATGTTTCTACATGGAAGAAAAGTCCAATCAGTGGGAATCAAACACTAGGACACCTTGGGAACAAGTTAGTTCATTTTTTTCCTGGTACGGGTTGGACTGCTGATTTCCATTTCCTGGGTGAGGAACTACTAATCATCCTGCCAGCTTCTCAGGCCTGCCTCTGCCATCATATCTGTGCTGACACTCAAGGCTGGAGCCAGTGCTTGCGTGTCCAGGTCGGCATCTGCCCTCACGCAGCCCTCGCCCATCTCTAAGGAACCTGAATCCTTTCTGCACTGCACTGAGTTTCCCTTAGGACCCAGGCAAGACTGGTTGTTCCCACATCCATACACCATGGAAACATTTTCTGAGGACTGTCAATTCTTGCATTTTGATACCTAACTTCTCAACCCCAGCATTGCCACCTGGACACTGGGAAAGGCCAGAGTCAACCTCCAGGCTTGGACCTTTGTCTTCAAGAATATAGAATCTCAGCCCAGCATTTACATCAAACCCAATTAAATACTTGCATTTTATTTTTTTAAATCTCAATTCTACTTTTAGAAGAGAAGCTCAGTCCATTAGAATAAGAAATTTTAAGGATTCCAAGAAGACTGCATGTCTGCCCTAGCCTTTCAGTAGTGCCAGCCTCATTCATGACACAGAACAAGTAAAGACATTTTTCCCCAGGGGCCCCATGCCAGCTGCCGGGTATTTAGCTCAGGAATTAAGAACAGATCTTGGAAAGGGCTCTGAAAGACAAGCAAAAGACAAACACTTGGAAGTTGAAGTTAGTTTTGGAGGAAATTTCCAATCAGAGTAAGAAGCAGATTTCAGAATCAACAGAACCTTTGACACTTTCAGTTAACTCCATCCTCTTCATTTATTTTTACTGTTGTAAATCATATACAATGTAAAGTTGAGCATTTCAACCACTGATTAAGTGTATAGTCTGGTGACATTAAGTGCCTTCACAATGTATGTCCATCCATTTCCAGAACTTTTTTATCATCCCAAATGTACTGTGTGCCCACTAAACATTAGCTCCCTCCTGTCATCTGTCCCCCCAGCCCCTTCCATTAAAAGGGGGGGGGACTGCGGCACAGGAAATTATAACTTTATGTTAGAAAACTAGAAGGTGGCCAGGTGTGCTGATGCACATCTGTAATCCCAGCATCTTAGGAGACCGAGGCAGGAGGATTGCAAGTTCAAGATCAGCTTCAGCAACTTAACCATATGCTTGTCTCATTAATAAAAATCCCCTGTACTGCAAATTTTAAAAAGAGAAAGAGAAAGAAAAAATAAAACTAGAAGGCGCCCTGAGGTAGCTTCTGGTTTTCCCTGGTCATTACTCTTCCCCTCTCTCCCTACCACACACCATCCTGTAGCAGCCTGGCACACCCCATCTCCAGGTGCTTTTAATCTAAAAGACAGATCCTGGCAGAGGAGAAGACCTCCCTTCCAGTGCCAATTTTTCTGTGAGAGTATTTAATTGAGTTTTCCAGCTCGACAAAGAAAAATATCATTTCTGCCCATCCTGGCTTTCCAAGGCTGAAGTAGAACTTAAATGAAAGTCACATAAAAACAGGATCACATAGAAAGGGAGTCAGAAAATTTGGATTCTGGCATGGATACTGCCAGTGGAGTGAGCTGTGGCCAGCAACCCTCCCTGAGCCTCAGGTTTCTCTGGGCAGCTACACAGGTCAAGCATACAGCATGTGCAGCTCTTTTGAACACTGAAGATATAAAGTGTGGCACCAAAGG